GCAGATGCCTGACGAACGTCACGACGTTGACAATGTTGACGGGACGTTGACGTCAAGTCCGTATTCATAAGCCACAGATTTAATGTTAAACTAATCTTGAAATTATCACTCCAGTTTTGTCTGTTGGCACATGGCGGTCATGTATCCAGATTTTTCTTGAAATTGTACTGATTCCAAAGTCCTCTCGCGTATAAATATTTCGAAAAACGGCTTTATCTGACTTGACTATTTAGTCGAGGTGTAACTAGGCCCAGTTCCTTAGAGCGGTCTTAAGGCTACGTTTGTCGTAAGTGCAAATTCTCTAACAAACTTACGACGGTCCTTACGATTTTCGATCGCTTTGACAATCCTTGGTGCTCCGAAGGTTTGTGTTTCTACAATACACCAAGGTTGTTCTGTACCCTTACTTTTCTGCTGCATTCGTCACCACTCGCCTCTTTCCGTAACCTGCAAGAAGACTCGTACCCCCTACCGATGAATGTTATGTGCGAAAATACGACAAACCAATCAGAACGCGCGTGTGATTTCAAGTTCTTCGTCAAAAAATCCCTCAGAAATATTTTTTGATTTTACATATGTCTTGCATCTAAAAATATACCCAAGGCACAGTTAAATGTGTTCAATCATACTGTATAATTCCGCATGTCCAGATGTGCTTTAAATTGCATCTGAAATATATATAATATATGGGGAAATATATGTGAACCATAACGCGACGAGTTGACAATAACACGAGTTGGTCACGAATGTTTTCTGCTGCTGTATTAGCTTATATAGATTATACTGAATACCATCTATTGGATAGAAAGCGAATGTAAGTGGACGATTAGCCAATGAAATACTTTGTTTTAGGGCCCTGGTGGATACTCGAGTAACCAAACACTCGTCGGGTTTAGATGAATTTAAAAATAAAATAAAATAATTAACAAAATATCACTGATGTGTATCTCAAACATCTCGGACAAATTTTGCATTTTTTTACACAAATTTACAAAATTTCAAACATGGTAGGGGTTATGTGTTTGCAAATTAATTTCTTACCCAGACTTAATTCAACCAATTTATTACTGCACAAAATAACCCAGTCACAGATTACTTTTTACAAACTGTTGCAGGAAGGAGTGGTGGTTTAATTGACAGTATCAAATTAACTACCGTTCTTTGAAGTTTCTATTACATAAAAAACAAACTCGGAATACTTTCTTTTGTCCCTCAGTTTATATTAATTCTGTTTTGCATGTCACACTTAATATTTGTATGGATGCGTGGCCTAGTGTAAGAACCCGTATCGTAGGACAGGGTATAACTATGCACCAACATTCCTAGCGAAAGATAGAGCGCTTTGAACATTATTTAGTTATATGAGTCAAGCAGGTCGTAGACATTTATCACTTTGGTGAAACATACGGGTATGGTGCCTGACAAACCTAAAACAATCAGGGCGAATCTGGGATTCGAACCCACGATCACAGGTGTCTGGCACGCCTATGGGAAACAATACATCCTTACATGGTGTAACGGAAGTACGCCATACCCATGCGCGTGGGTTTCACCAAAGTGCTAAGCGCCTACCCCCCTTAACCTATAACGCGGGGAACAACTCCAATACTGTTCAAAGCGGCGGCAAGCACAACTCACTCACTTACTGGTTTCAAGTTTTATTTGACTTAGCTGTATCTCCTTGTCGCGTCTGAAATGATGTTATCTCTAAGAGACCCCCAATGGGCTAACCTGCCTGAGATATCGTTCTCTGCAGGATATTGAACTTATCGTGTGATAGATGAAAAGTAAACACAACGCTAACCTGTAAACCATGTCATTTGTCACCACTCGCCTCTTTCCGTAACTTGTATTCGGCTTGTCCGGGAATAACACGAGTTGGTCACGAATGTAAACCATGTGTCGAACATGACAAAAGCGTGCGTCGTTCCTCCCCGCAAATGGCCAGTACATGTTTACTCGCGTCGATTCTCGCGTTACCACAGCGAGGTCCTACAATGAAGTGAAAATGACAATGACATCTTCATACCACCTGTTACAGTCAATAAATTGTTCAAGTGAATTAATCTTAATTTATCTGTATTACGTTCGTACGTATTTTCATTAGATAAAACAAGTTTTTGAAACATCAATGCGTTAAATCTGCCGTCGTCTATATTTAATGGGTTTGCATACACCACGTTCTGCTCTTGGTTGTGGATTATTTGAATACCTGAATATCATACGACAACCCAGCAAAGTAAGACAACTCTGGACAAAACATCATAATGTAAAGTTTTCTCACGATGGCAGTTTAACGTGATACAGACGTCCAGGCTTTTGGCAAGTCTTAATACCAGGCAAACAGGTTTCAAAAACATCACTATCATTAAAACAGTTCAGTGGCATGTGTGTGTGTGTGTGTGTGTGTGTGCGTGTGTGTTGTTAATGATGGTACATCCATCCGATATGGAAACCCATCGATACCTCTGATCTGATAGCAGGAGCTGGGGTAGCACAGTGGTTAAAGCGTTTGCTCGTCGCGTGGAACACCTGGGTTAGATGGAAGCTAAGTATCCGTGTCTCATGCAGTTGCCCGAATGATGCCAAAAGCGGGATACATCCTGCTCAGTCACTCCGCGCTAGGCACCTCTGTGTGGTATTACAGCTAATTCAGAAAATCAGATTTTTCTCAGCAGCGTCCCTTGAAAACGCTCGCGTCTTGATTTGCTTATTCATACCACTTCGAAGAACAAGGATCTCTATTATGTTTTTTTTTTTTTTTTCAAATTTTTGTTCAGTCATATACACAGGATACATAAGCACTCGGAGAGCAATACAGCTTTATGAATACAGGTGCTTCTCAAAAGGATATGGTACAGAGGAGGCCTAAGGCAAAATCCACATCATGGTACAGATGAAGGCATAATCCACATCATGGTACAGATGAAGGCATATTTATGTATACAATTAAGAAGATGCGGCGTTTATGGTACATCAAATTATGTTGCAAACATCAAGTGAATAAGTTATTTTGCAGGTTGAGTAAACAAAGCCCATTTTCTATTAAAGGCAGAGAAGTCGTTGTTTCTACGTGCAATATGATATTCAACGTCATAGATACTTCTTATTGTGTTCTTAAAAGCAACAAAGTCAACATTTTCATTCTTAATACACTGGACAAAGATAAATCTTTTAGCAGCTACAATCAAATGGTTAATTAATACATCAGAGGTACCAAAGAGGAGCTCGTTGTCAGTTATAAGGATTTTTCTATGCAAGATATGAGTCAAGTAAATACAGAAATCTGACCAAAAATTCTTAACAACATGACATTCGATATAAACATGAAAAATATTTTCTTTGTGAGTATGACACATAGAACACTCATCGTTATCAATAAGTTTCATTCTTAATAACTCACGTTTAGTAAATATTACTTTATGAATAAATCTAAACTGGAAATCCCTGAGTTTTGTGTCCCTTAACCCATGGCAATATACACTGAATATTTGATTCCATGGAAAAGAGCATTCCAGCTGATTTTCCCATTTCAAACAAGATTTAGGAAGAGGGAGGGAATTCCCTATCAGTTTATTATAAAACACTTTTGTTCCTTTAATAGAACGTGTAAGATCATAAATCCAAGGAGATACTGTGAGTTTAGAAGAGGAATGTAGATTTTCATCAATATTTTGTCTCCAACTTCTTGGAATATTAAAAAACATACGGTTATAGTCAAGAAAAGTTCCTTTAAGATCATAAAGTTGTTGTAAACGTGGGAAAGGGATCCATCCGTTTTCATCATACAAGTCTTTTATCGTAACTATACCTTTTTTAAACCAGTCATTAAAAATTAATACTGGTTCTCTAAAATAATGGTTTAACCATATGGGTTGGGAAGCAATTTCTGCTTTTTCTAAGACTTCAAAGTCATATGGATGCATAAAGTCACTCCAGGCTATAAGGGTATCTTTCCAGAACGGATTTACAATTTCCCACTTCTTGTGCAAACTGGCACCTAAAGTGTAGATATGAGCCAGCTGAAAACTAGCAAGGTCATAATTAATGTTTTTTTCACAATATCTTTTTAAACATGAAATTTTTAAAGATGCTATAAATTTGGGTATATCAGTCATTTTCAATCCACCTTGACTATAATTCCTTTTCAAATAATCCCTCTTAATCTTATCTCTTTTGCCACTCCAAATAAAGTTAAAAAGAATTCTATTCAATTGATCAATGTGTGTGTGTGTGTGTGTGTGTGTGTGTGTGTTGTTAAAGATGGTACATCCATCCGATATGGAAACCCATCGATACCTCTGATCTGATAGCAGGAGCTGGGGTAGCACAGTGGTTAAAGCGTTTGCTCGTCGCGTGGAACACCTGGGTTAGATGGAAGCTAAGTATCCGTGTCTCATGCAGTTGCTCGAATGATGCCAAAAGCGGGATACATCCTGCTCAGTCACTCCGCGCTAGGCACCTCTGTGTGGTATTACAGCTAATTCAGAAAATCAGATTTTTCTCAGCAGCGTCCCTTGAAAACGCTCGCGTCTTGATTTGCTTATTCATACCACTTCGAAGAACAAGGATCTCTATTATGTTTTCTTTATTAGTTGTAATAACCCGTGAAGATCCGGGGTAAAAGGTCTTCAGCAACCCATTCTTGCCGCAAAGAACACCTATGCTTGTCGTAAGAGGCGACTAACGGGAACGGGTGGTCAGGCTCGCTGATTTGGTTGATGCATGTCATCGTATCACAATTGCGTGGATCAATGCTTATGATGTCAATCACTGGACTGTCTGGTCCAGACTCGATTATTTACAGACCGCCGTCATATAGCTCGAATACTGCCGAGTGCGGCGTTAAACAACAAAAAGGTGTAATACTTGCCCACAAATCATTATTTTATCGTCTGCATCCATTATTTCCAGCACGGTCGATATGGAGTAGGAATAGATTGTGCGTTGTTATACTGTTGTGAGACGTCACTCCTAACATTGTTGGTCTTGCCTTGCAGTGTATGGCTACAGCAGCCTGGCGGTGTTCATCATCTCACTTTGCTCTCTTGTCGGGGTCTTATTCGTCAAGGTTTCCAAGGGCAAAACCGGAAATTACGTCATGGCGTCCATGTTGGCCCTGGCTGTCGGGAACCTGTGTGGGGACGCCGTCCTACATTTAGTCCCTGAGGTAGGGAGGATGAGTGCGACGACCTTTATTGTTTAAAAAGGAAATAGAATCAGGGAAATTTGTGAAAAGTACGTGGTCGTCACCAATATACACAAGTATGATGTATGGCATTACAGTATAGAAACAAGGGACACGGGTGGCCCAGTAGTCTAAGGACCCTCAATTTCCTATGCAGTGTTGTGGTCCTAAGGCGTGCTAGAATTCTACAATAGTCGGTTCGAATCCTATATTCGCCCTGATTATGTTAGCACAATATCCGTGTTCGTTGGTTTCACCAAAGTGGTTAACGTCGCGTTTTCCTCTCACATTATGCTAACAAGAATTGATATAAATGAAACTGTTCAAAGTGGCGTTAAACCCAGCTCATTCACTCACCCATTGATTTAACAAAAGGAAAGAAAAACAGAGTATATACTACTGGTGCATCACTGTTGAAAATATATGAAGGATATATTTTTTATTTTAGGCGCAGTTATAAGTGATAATGTCAATTTTGTCGGGCTTCGACCACCCGATCCATTCAGTTGCCTAGGAAAAGGAACAGGGATCCACTTCCGGGGTTTGCATGATATACGAACGGGTGCTTCAAGAACTAACATTAAGATGAAATTGAAAAAAAGAAATTCTTAAACATGTATTGGAAGTGAAAAAAACACCACATTGTTGAATTGTTTTCTTAAATGACATTATTGTCATTTATAAAATATCGCTAAGAAAACAAGACGGTTGGATATTTAATTTGTTGACCCATATTTGTGAAAATTGGGTTCAGTGGACCGGATCTATAAGCCATTAATATTTTTTTATATGTGTTCATGATAAATATGTACAGGTCATTGGCGAGGAGGGGACGGACAATGACGGCGATGGTCACTTCACGAACGAAATAATGTTGCTTGGCAATTCTGACATCTCCATGAATAGCGTGAAGATGATGTTGATGCTGGCCGCCATCTACCTGTTCTTCCTGCTGGAGATGGTGATGAGCGTGTACCACAAGCACGACCACGTCACGGAGAACACGGTGAGTGTGTGATGAGCGTTCATCAGGTTACGGAGAACACGGTGAGTATGTGATGAGCGTGTACCACAAGCACGACCACGTCACGGAGAACACGGTGAGTGTGTGATGAGCGTTCATCAGGTTACGGAGAACACGGTGAGTATGTGATGAGCGTTCACCACGTCACGGAGAACACGGTGAGTATGTGATGAGCGTTCACCACGTCACGGAGAACACGGTGAGTATGTGATGAGCGTTCACCACGTCACGGAGAACACGGTGAGTATGTGATGGGCGTGTACCACAAGCACGACCATGTCACGGAGAACACGGTGAGTATGTGATGAGCGTTCACCACGTCACGGAGAACACGGTGAGTATGTGATGGGCGTGTACCACAAGCACGACCACGTCACGGAGAACACGGTGAGTATGTGATGAGCGTTCACCACGTCACGGAGAACACGGTGAGTATGTGATGGGCGTGTACCACAAGCACGACCACGTCACGGAGAACACGGTGAGTATGTGATGAGCGTTCACCACGTCACGGAGAACACGGTGAGTATGTGATGGGCGTGTACCACAAGCACGACCACGTCACGGAGAACACGGTGAGTATGTGATGAGCGTTCACCACGTCACGGAGAACACGGTGAGTATGTGATGGGCGTGTACCACAAGCACGACCACGTCACGGAGAACACGGTGAGTATGTGATGAGCGTTCACCACGTCACGGAGAACACGGTGAGTATGTGATGGGCGTGTACCACAAGCACGACCACGTCACGGAGAACACGGTGAGTATGTGATGAGCGTTCACCACGTCACGGAGAACACGGTGAGTATGTGATGGGCGTGTACCACAAGCACGACCACGTCACGGAGAACACGGTGAGTATGTGATGAGCGTTCACCACGTCACGGAGAACACGGTTAGTATGTGATGGGCGTGTACCACAAGCACGACCACGTCACGGAGAACACGGTGAGTATGTGATGGGCGTGTACCAAGAGCACGACCATGTCACGGAGAACACGGTGAGTATGTGATGAGCGTTCACCACGTCAGCCAAACTACGGTGAGTATGTGATGAGCGTTTACCACGTCACGGAGAACACAGTGTATACGTGATGAGCGTTCACCACGTCAGCCAGACTACGGTGAGTGTGTGATGAGCGTTCACCACGTCACGCAGACCACTGTGATTTGTTTGTTTGTTGTTTAAAAGCGCACTCAGCAATATTCCAGCTATATGACGGCGGTCTTTAAATAATCGAGTCTGAACCAGACAATCTTGTGAATGACATTATGAACATCGATCAACTCAGTTTGGATACGATGACATGCATCAACCATGTCAGCGAGCCTGACCATCCTTGTCGCCTTTTACGACAAGCATGGGTTGCTGAAGACCTATTCTACCCCGGATTTTCCCGGGTAGACCACTGTAAATATGTTATGAGCATTTACCATGTCGCAGACCACGGTGAATACGTCTGTTTTAAGGATGGCGAGGTATATGTAATCTATACTCGGGTTAGAGAGTGGACGTTGTTTTACACAGTGAGTGAGTGAGTTAATGTTTTACACAGTAGTCCGCCCTAGCTGATACCCCCAGGCGGCCTGAAAATTATCAGAGTCTGGGTCAAACAAACCGGTGGTTGATATTATGAGCAACGACGACCAAGATGGGGAGCGAGTGGAGAGTATTCCTTTAAATAGAAATGCTCACTGGGGACTCACTGATTGGTTATTGTAAAAATAAAATTGAAACTATTTTCAAAGCTAGTAATATTCATATTGCACCAAACGCCAAGGGTAAACCCCATAGCTACAGGTTTTTTTTGTCTGTCTGAGGTAATGGATTTTTTCACAAAATGGATAGAACTGTCGGCATTCAGAATTACGGAGTATGTCTAATTAATCGAAGCCAGTTAATTTTTAATACCTCATAGTTGTTGTCACAATATTTATGGGGGCGCCCTGACTATCTCGCACTGTCACGTGTGAGTGAAACAAAGATACTACTATGCACTTAATTTCTTTGTCTCTCTATGAACCAGCCTAGGATTGGTATAATGGCCAAATGGCATTCCGTTAGAAGACCAGCCCTATTATAGGTCTTAACCGTCACCTTAGATTACCTCTGTTGTAAGTCCGACATATTTGTTACTGTTATGATATATGGTTATAACGACACACCCCACATAGCTTTCCAAATGTCTATTTGCATTTTTATTTATTTATGAGTGAGTTTAACGCTGCTTTCCAGTTATAACACGACGTGTCAGCTTACTGTTGGAGGAAACCTGAAGTGATGAAGGCCTTAAAAGTAGACGTTTATCTTTTTGGTAAAACCCACAAGCACGGGTATGGTGCTAACAAACATAGAAACATAATTGGGGCGAACCGGGATTCGAACCCACTATCATAAGTGTCGTGGTAAGGGAGTTTTGTTTAAGTACGAACTATTTGCGTAGAGTATATATATTATCAGCATGTTAACACTGCGTGAGATGCTTCTTCGTGATGCACTGTTAACGTATTACTTGAACATAAACAGTTTACGCTAAACACACCTATATATATTGTTTTGGATGTGAATGACTATGTTAACACCCGAGGAACTTGTGGCAAAGATTTTTTTTAAATATATTACTTACAGATAACTATTCCCGAGTCACAGATTCCCAAGAAGAAGACGTTGACCCGTGTTGTGACAGGCAGTACTGCCCACTTGACCTCCAGCAACTCCACCCTGGTCAGTATACCGGACTTCCTCCTCTTCGTCCATCCTCGGTGCACAGGGCTCATATAGTCCACTTGTCAGTATGCCCGATTTCCTCTCTCTTCTCCCCAACCTCGATACACAGGGCTCATATATTCTACTTGTCAGTAGTACAGACCTTCTCCCTTTTCTCGGGGCGGTCGGGTAGCCTAGTGGTTAAAGCGTTCGCTCGTCACGCCGAGGACCCGGGTTCCATTCTCGACATGGGTACAATGTGTGAAGCCCATTTCTGGTGCCCCCCGCCGTGATATTGCTGGAATATTGCTAAAAGCGGCGTAAAACCGTACTCACTCACTCACTCTGACCCGGGTTCGATTCTCGACATGGGTACAATGTGTGAAGCCCATTTCTGGTGTCCCCCGCCGTGATATTGCTGGAATATTGCTAAAAGCGGCGTAAAACCGTACACACTCACTCACTCTCCCTTTTCTCGCCCTTACTCATTACCAAGCCTGGGCACCGAGGGAACATATTCCTCTTCTCAGAAGCAAGTGACGTCCTCCCTCTCTCCGCTACCAGGACAAATATCTTTTGTAATATCTTTGCTCAGAAATTGGAGAGGCCAGGTTCTTGAAATTGTATCTTAGTCAAAATGTTTTGCAGTATTTTAGAGAACATGTACGGCACCGATCATCAATGGTCAGTACATGAACAGTCCGGACATAGTACTGGAAGATACATGAACGGAATCATAATGCTTAGTTTTGTAGGTTATCACTTGGCGTGGTACCACAGTCTTCTGACAGGAGTGAGTCAGTGAGTTGGGTTTAACGCCGCTTTTAACAGTATTCCAGTTATATCGCGGCGTGTCAGCTTAATGTTAGAGGAAAGCCCGAAGTGATGCATGTCTCAGACGTTTACCACTTCGGTTAAACCCACGAGCATGGGTATGGTGCTGACAAACCTAGAAACATAATCGGGGCGAACCGGGATTCGAACCCACAATCATAGGTTTCTGGCGTGCCCAAGGAACACAACTCTGCACAGCGAATCGCGGCGCCTTAGACGACTGGGCAACCCGTGCCCTAGGCCTCCTTCTGCCAGGAGCAGGTATAGAATTGTGCTGGAAACATACATATGACTATCAAGGACAACTGTTTTGTCTTCGCTGTTGTGTTCGTATTTCATTCTTGAGAAAACGGAAAAAGACCTACATGGGCAATGAACACTTGACCTAAAGCCGATTTTCATTCCATCTAGTCATCAATGGAGTTGGCCCTTCCCTCTTCCATAGACTCCCTCCCGAGTGTCCCCGAAGAGAATGAGGATCCTGAAGAAGAGGTCCAGATCACTATCCAGAAGCAAGACAACATCATTGGTCAGTGGAATCAGTCGTTCTTCCAAATTCAAAGATTACAGCCAATATATAAATGATCAAGTTAAAATACAGTAAAGTACGTTTATAACGAACACGCTTATAACGAACTGACCGATATAACGAACTTATTTTTTAGTCCTGGCCATTTGTTGCATATATGCTGTATGCTGTATATATGCTTATAACGAACTACGATTATAACGAACTAAAATTAGTGGTCCCTTTGAGTTCGTTATAGCCGTAGTTAACTGTACAGGAATAAACCAGACGGGGCTTTCCAAAATAGTATATACATTGCTACATTTTGATTTTGAGCCTGATTTTGAACTGTCTGTTCAGAGCAGTGATGCTTGTCACGATGAAAGTATATGATTGATGTGATTACTCAAGGATCTGAGCTCTGTCCAATGAGGTCTGAAATGTGCCATTTGAGAGCATTTCTTTCCTCAACACTAATCAACTCAGAAATGCATGATAGAGATGATTATACCGGACCTTGTCTTCCGCCAGCCCCCATGACGTTAGCGTGGATGGTTATAGTGGGCGACTCCATACACAACTTCGCCGACGGTTTGGAGATAGGAGCAACATTTAGCGATGGCTTGGCGTCAGGTCTTTCTACGTCGCTGGCGGTGTTCTGTCACGAGCTGCCACACGAGCTGGGTAGGTGCCGCCATTTACGACCATTAACCTTGATATGCTCCTTAATTTCCAAATTCTTTCACGTTGTCACTTTTGACTGCGAACAGCTTCATAATGCCCTGCACACGTGATCAGTGAAGAGGGGAACAAGGGGGGAATGTTGCAATCTATCATGGCACCAATGTCATTCAGAGTATCTTTATAACATAAAAAGTTGTCAGGATACATCTATCAAGTAATTTATTTGGCTTATCCAGGGACGATAGGAACATTTCAACCGTAGAGATGTAGCTTCATGGATAAAATGACGGAACAAGGAGAAGCCCTGAAAGATCCCTAGAAACATGATGTAGTTGTAATCTATGCAGTTTCATGTCTATAAGTTTTAATTACATAAACGTCAAACAGATTTGATCAAACACTAACTAGTATGTCAGGACTCCCTTCAGTTTAGGGCGTCGGGTAGCCCGGTGGGTTATGCGTTCGCTCGATACGCCAAAGATACATGTTCAACAACCCACGAAGTATATGTTTGCCGAATGCCGAATTGCAGGAATGTTTCTAAAACCGGCGTTAACATATCCCCCCTCACTGTCGCAGTCATAAAGTACAAGTAATCAAGTGTGACATAATCTCGCCGTGGGCATGCATCAAAAATAAACAATCGGTTTTCCGTCATTACCGTATTCGACGTAATAAGCGCCCAGGACGCTCTCAAAACAGGGGGCTCTTATTAGAATTATAATTTGGTGAGATAAAAAACAGAGTTGAAAGATTGTTAATTTTGTGGTTTATGCGGACAGCCTGAAATGATATAACAGAAGATTCTGTGCGTATTATACACGATAGATATATTTTCGAGAATTAAATTGCCCATAATTAAGGGTGCATTTATCACACGAGTGCGTATTATACACGAATAAATAAGTCTTGTCTACATTGATCAATCGGAAAGGGTGCTAATTGGGATTGTTCACAAGCCAATATATCAGCAAATATCGCCGTGGGCGCTTATTAGAATGGGACGCTTATTACGTCGAATACGGTAATTCACAACCCTTCTCGTGTTGTTATTACAGGGGACTTTGCAGTGTTGATTTCAACAGGCATGTCAGTGAAACGGGCTCTCATTCTCAACTTCGTGTCAGGCCTCACAGCGTTTATTGGATTGTACATAGGAATAGTGTCTGGGCAGCACAACAGTGTCCGACAACTCATCTTCAGTATTGGGGCAGGCATGTTTATCTATGTGGCGCTGGCCAATCTGGTGAGTCGTGCTTCCTACGTGTAGCTTTAAGGGTACTCAAGTAAACTACGTTTATAACGAACACGCTTATAACGAACTCACCGATATAACGTACTTATTTTTTCGTCCCGGCCATTTGTTGCATATATGCTGTATATATGCTCATAACGAACTATGGTTATTGCGAACTAAAATTAGTGGTCCCTTTGAGTTCGTTATAACCGTAGTTTACTGTATGTTCATCTATTTTCTCGCGTTCCGTTTGTTTGTTTGTTTGTGGTTAACGCCGCACTCAGCAATATTCCAGCTGTATGACGGCGGCCCGTAAATAATCGAGTCTGGGACAGACAATCCGGTCATTGACATCATGAGCATCGATCTACGCAATTTGGGATACGATGACATGTATCAACCACTCGGTCCGGTAGTCACTCTTACAAGAATAGGTTGCTTAGGTGTTTATCACGTCATGTGTGTCATTGTATGGTCTAGGTCAGGAAAACTAGTCGTTGAACATGAGAAGCGCATTCGCAGTGTCATGACACACAATCAGCCAGATCAAACACTGTAACCCGTCAGTTTTTGAACACGCAAAATCATGGTTAGTGTTGTTGTTGGATGTTTAACTCGGCCTCAGCATTATGACGCCGGCCTGTACATAATCAAGTCTGGGCCAGACATTCCAGTGATTGACATTATAAGCAACGACCCATGCCATCTGGGTCCGATGACACGCTATCAGCCAAGGAAAATGAGTCATTTGGTCGGATCTTACGAACAGCATTTGCTGTTGCGACAGGAATCCCAATGTGAGCAGTGACCTTGTGATTCAGGAATTCTTTTACATACAAAGTCCGCCAATCAACATTTAGACAGGATTGTTTTTGTAATTGCAGGTACCAGAACTGATGAAATATTTTGAGCGGAATAGAAACTGGAGAATGTTTTTATGCCAACACGTGGGTGTTCTCTCGGGATATACGGTCATGGTTCTAATTGCAATCTATGAAGATGAAATATCTTTGTAACACCAAACAGTGCGACTTACAAAGACTTTTGGACAAACGCACCACGGTCAGCGATAGGAAGTCATCGAGCACCATCCAAAGGCTGTCACATCCAAAATAACACATGACCTAATTACGTCCATGGAAATTCGAGTTTACATGCCCCAATTACTGTTTGTTTATAACCTAATGCCCAAGGACTTATGGGCAGAAAAAAAAATGGGAAATAGAATGTATTTATAGATTTATCAGATCTTGAAATAAGTGATCGATGACTGCCTTTAACTTTGTCAGTTCACAAGACGTGAGTTATATCGGAACGTTTGCTTCGACGTGATGGGTGCTGATTCGGTGCTTTAAGTCTGAGTGGCTTACTGAGTGTTTGCTAACAACTTGCCCCAGCTTGGTGAGTGAGTTATTGCTATGGTTACCTGTTTATTCTGAATGACGACGACTTTATAAATGAGCGGAGCAGAAGAACAGATGACCACTTTGATGTTGATGTGTGTACTAGACAAGAGTTCATAATATGGCTAGCCAGACTGGTAATGCCATTGGAGAAATGTGCAGTTTTGATTTTAAGCAAACATGCATTAAGAAATCTCGTCTACTATATTCTATAGCTTGATTCACTGGCTGATGTGTGGACGATTCAGAATTAGAAGATGATGTATTATACCACCATTTCCTGAATTCTCCCGGACACGATACCAACAGGCTCTACCTTACTTGTATGTTTTTTCAACTTGACATAAACTACTTCCATTTTGGAAATCGCCATGCTTCAAGCTCACATAACAACAATGTATGTGTACTTCGGATTTATTATGGCATCATTTCTTGTTTAGGAAAACATAGAGTGCTTTAGCACTATTAAATCCTGGATTGAAATGTTGATCCCCAGTGGTTGTAAATGATATACACTACTCAAGTTTTGATAGGGATATGATATATCTCGTACTGTTAGGAAACTAAGGACAATAGCAAATGTGTAATTATGTTTATTTGAACTTGAAGCTGCAAATATCACATTCAGGCCCCACCAGGGCACTCAGAATAATCCTACCACAAGTTGAGTAGTATATATACACATGCACAAAAGTTAAGGGCCACCCACCATATTTGTGAGCTGTTACTTTTGGCACTTAATGATGAGACTATTATAACGAGATGTACGATTGTTATAAGCCATATATGTAAACCTCATGTGATGCAAAAGTTGTCCCAAAGCAAGTTTATATTGTGTTCCAAAAGAATATGAGCAGAAAGGAATTTTAGAAAAGGATTAGAAAACATTGAAAAACTTACGGTCATCGTCGAGAGTCTCTGATGCGTAATCCACTGCAGTCTTAAATCTGTTGAAGTGGCAAATGGATTTCGCCTGACTATCCTGAAAAGACGTCTATCCTCTCTGTTAGAGGTCTTTCTTGGCCTACCAGACCCATGCCTGTCATTGACATCATTGGTTTGACCATGTTTGACAATCAAACGAGTGATAAAACTGTGATGACGACCCATTTGTCTTGCAATGGCCCTGCAGGACATGCCAGCATTTTTCATGCCTATCACTTGCCATCTTTCAGCGTTCGTTAACTTTCTCCTCACCATGGCTGATTTTCAAACGCTATTGGAAGGGGAATCTCACACAGGAGCAAAATGCAACCACGTGTCTGAAACTTGAATTTCACTATTTATAGGGTAGGGGAACTGCAGCAACACGTAAAGCACGCTTTCCTTGTGGTATCTGGACATATTTTGGTTCATGAAGCTATGGAAGCCTAATTCAGTCATACATCATTATATTGCGTATTTCTGATTCCCACACGTGACATCAAGTGACTATGAATATGGTGGCGCTTAACTTTTGTGCATGTGTGTATATATATATATTCAAATCACAACCATTGCATGTGAAAGATCCAAATGACTGTTTAATGCATGTTACCTTAATCTTAAGTAGACCACACATTTTGTTTTTAGGTTTACAAATTTGACTCACAATCAGAAAACAAAATAGCGTAAGTCTTTTTTCTTGCCTGCTCCATCTTTTATGGGTTTGAAAGCTAAAGACAAACAACTACAAAACTCGTACAAAATTAAAATAACTATTACGTGTTTCGATAATAATTGATCTGATGAATTGTATTCATTTTCCTACGACTGCAAACCTATAGAGAAAGCCTTCTCAGAAATAATGACATTATAAAAATTATAATCAATCTGCTCCTAAACAGTATTAGTATACATCACTAAACATACATTTTCTCAACATGTAAAGTTAATTATTCAACAAAATTATATCATTTATATTCAGCTGACCCAAGCTTTATTAGCAATATCAAAAGTCTAAAAATATAAAATGTTTGGCCTTTGTCAGACTGTACAAAGTAATGGAAATGAAGGATACAAAGACTTGTCAAAGACCTAGGTCACTGCTATGTTATGTTGTAAGACTTGGTAAGCTATGTGCTAATATTACCTTAATGCCTGTAGAGGACCCATAAGCTATACTGATGACATGGCTGTTACACAAAACAATGATGGTTACCTTGACTTAAGGCTAATCTTGACCTTTGCAAAGCAGCATTCCTTCAAAGAGACAAATTAGCACTAATACTTTGTCAGGTCACCTGAACTGGAGGTTTAATTTAGCTTTCAAATTGCATTGTCGGTGTCTCTGTCAGTCTGCCATATTGAGTTGGTATCTTTTGGCCATGGCAGGCATAGTTAGTTGGTATCTTTTGGCCATGGCAGGCATAGTGAGTTGGTATCTTTTGGCCATGGTAGGCATAGTTAGTTGGTATCTTTTGGCCATGGTAGGCATAGTGAGTTGGTATCTTTTAGCCATGGTAGGCATAGTTAGTTGGTATCTTTTGGCCATGGCAGGCATAGTGAGTTGGTATCTTTTAGCCATGGTAGGCATAGTTAGTTGGTATCTTTTGGCCATGGCAGGCATAGTTAGTTGGTATCTTTTAGCCATGGCAGGCATAGTTAGTTGGTATCTTTTAGCCATGGCAGGCATAGTGAGTTGGTATCTTTTGGCCATGGTAGGCATAGTGAGTTGGTATCTTTTAGCCATGGTAGGCCTAGTTAGTTGGTATCTTTTAGCCATGGCAGGCATAGTGAGTTGGTATCTTTTGGCCATGGTAGGCATAGTTAGTTGGTATCTTTTAGCCATGGCAGGCATAGTTAGTTGGTATCTTTTGGCCATGGCAGGCATAGTGAGTTGGTATCTTTTGGCCATGGTAGGCATAGTTAGTTGGTATCTTTTGGCCATGGCAGGCATAGTGAGTTGGTATCTTTTAGCCATGGTAGGCATAGTTAGTTGGTATCTTTTAGCCATGGCAGGCATAGTGAGTTGGTATCTTTTGGCCATGATAGGCATAGTTAGTTGGTATCTTTTAGCCATGGCAAGCATAGTTAGTTGGTATCTTTTGGCCATGGCAGGCATAGTTAGTTGGTATCTTTTGGCCATGGCAGGCATAGTTAGTTGGTATCTTTTGGCCATGGTAGGCATAGTTAGTTGGTATCTTTTGGCCATGGCAGGCATAGTGAGTTGGTATCTTTTGGCCATGGCAGGCATAGTTAGTTGGTATCTTTTGGCCATGGTAGGCATAGTTAGTTGGTATCTTTTGGCCATGGCAGGCATAGTGAGTTGGTATCTTTTGGCCATGGCAGGCATAGTGAGTTGGTATCTTTTGGCCATGGCAGGCATAGTATGTTGGTATCTTTTGGCCATGGCAGGCATAGTATGTTGGTATCTTTTGGCCATGGCAGGCATAGTGAGTTGGTACCTTTTTGCCATTTGCATAAGTTTGAAACCTGATATACAGAAAGTATGTGCAGAAAAACATCTTGATATTTTACACATACACATACCCCATTTAACCAGATTTACTGCATTTTTTACCCCTCCTCGGAATATTTTTGTTCACCAACCCCACAATGGTGTCTCTTAAATATGCACAAATTCTCATCCAAGCTCAAATATGCGTCTACATGTTTGTTGTAAGATTGCCTGTCTTGTGTCCAATGTAATATCATGATATATTCTTTACTGAAATAAAGAATGTTTGGCTTTCATAAATTGTTTCATAATTGTTTGCTGTGATTTTCCCCCTCTTTTTCCAGCACAGCTTAAATAAATCCATACACAAGAGATAAGGAATGTTAAAACCTTTTAACATTTTCTGATAATAGAGTAAGTGAGTGAGTTGGGTTTTAACGCCGCTTTTAACAGTATTCAAGTTATATCACGGTGTGTCAGCTTAATGTGGGAGGAAAGCCGAAAGTGATGCTGGTCTCAGATGTTTACCACTTAGGTGAAACCCACGAGCACGGGTATGGGGCTGACAAACCTAGAAACATGATTGGGGCAAACCGGGGTTAGAACCCACAATCATAGGTTTCTGGCGTACCCAAGGGACGTAACTCTGCACAGCGAATCGCTGGCGCCTTTGACGTGCCCCCTTCTGATAATAGAATGGATTGATTTGTGAAAATAGCATCACTTCCTGTTGTACATGACACACCATTGTATCAGTTCTCCTGCTGTAGCAGATTACAAATAACATATCTCTTTCTGATGATGTAGTTTAATCACCAAATATACAACCTTGTCTCACAACCAAGCATCAAACTGTACATAAACATACAATCATATCATTAACAAAACAATCAACGTCAGTAGCAAGCCAAGGTGTTTTAAAGCGCAGGTAACTGTGATAATACAAGTAGGACTCCAATCTATGGTGATCTTTAATCTGGGTCTGATCACTGTCACAGAAATCTGTAGTCTTGTGGCTCAACCTGCTTCAGATTTTACTATCAAAAGCCCTTACGGGGCACCTATAGTATAATAGGGACAGTTCTTCATTATTCAGTAAGTGTTTGGCCAAAACATCAAAGATCACAGATCACAGATACAGTCAGCGACTTCAGCAACTTGTTGGAAGCCACAGTCTAGCTAAGAGTATTTGGACTAATTCGCGCAGGAAACAATAGTCCATGTGTTACATCTACTGAACATGACATCATCAGACAATATCAGTCTAGCAGACCACCAAGTTTCTGCACCTGTGGGGCCTCCAAGTCAGAGTAGGTCCACAACAACCTTTGCTTGTTGTAAGAGTTGACTAAAGTGAACAAGTGGTCAGGCTCGTGACTTGGTTGACTAGATGTCATCATATCCCAATAACCTAGGCTGATTCTAATGATGTCAATCACTGGATTTTCTGGTTCAGACTTGACAATTTGCAGACCGCCATCATATCGCTGTAATATTGCTGACTGCAGCATTATAAAAACAAAAACACACAAATAAAACAGATTCTAGCCAACAGTGTAGATCAGAGTCACCCTGAATTAAGCCTACCATGGTTCGGAGTCTTACATACATGTATCTATATATATGTATATATATACAACATTCTGTAGCTAGATCTGTAGTCCCAGCAATCTGTACAGCAGGTCTGAATCTCTTACTGTAGTTGATGGTTCTCCAAACTCCCATGGCCCCCAAGAAACCATCAATGACAGCATCTCTGCTGACAAAGTATTCATATGAATTCAAATGTCATACTAGAGACAGTGACTGCATACAAAAGTAAAAACAATGTATTTTTACACGTGTACTAGTTTTTCATATATTCTGCTGAATACACAATAAATGATATGTACTAATACACAATTCTATGTTGTATAGTTGTGTGTGTGATAGAAAGAACGAAGCACAAAGACAGCCTTTTGGGTCCCCTGGATCTGCATAATTAACAAAAGGAACAAAAGTGGCATAATATGAAAGTTACAAGATGAATGGGAGATAACTAGACCTCGTTTATTTCAACACTTTATGTTCTGGGCCCATAGCACAAAGCGATCTTAGCACTACGACTGTCGTAAGTCCATGTTAAAGTATGGGAGTTACGATCACCTTAGAGCTAAAATAGCTTTGTGAACGGGGCCCTGGACTTTAACAATAACAGTGGTACAGGTAAGGAAACGAATGATTTTATAGGTCTTCTGGAACCTTTCTTGCAATGTTTGTAGTCTTGTAGCGTTTGACCCAAGCTTATTTTCTCAGGAGATTTCGATAATGAGGGTACAAACATGTGGTAACAAATTTTACTTGGGTCACAGACTTGCATTTACTTAGATTTTCTCTTGAAAAGTTCAAAAAAATCATCACGGCATAAGTCCAAAACTTGCAATCATAAAAAAAACCAGAAAAAAGGGTTAGTTGTCAGCTTTTAAACATGTCATATAACTTTCATACCAATGGTATAGATTTCACAGTTCCAGTGTGCCCAAAACGGGTCTTCCATTTTGAAAACACAGCAACACTGAATTGCCATTTTCCTGGAATAAGCAGTGATATCAACCACACATTATTGACATCTAATGTACAGATATACTGTCAGACACAATCAAAACAAATATAAATAATTTTATAAAATAAATATTGACAATGAATGTGCTGCGACAAAGTGGATATGGTAAACACTTCCTCAGTCTGTCTATTATCGGTAAGTATATTGCAAGCACTGATATAAGACAGAAAACTAATCCTGAATCCCGAAAAGAATGTGTTTAGCTTTTAACACCATTGAATGTTTTTTTCACAATGGCATAGGACACGTTAGTGTTGGAGGACAGCCAATTGCAGCCGGTCAGGGATGATTACCAATGTGGTGAAACTGATGAATGTGGATATTTTGAATTTATCATAATCCATTCAAATCTAGGACTTAAACCACCGACTACCTGGTCCTGAATGTTGATGGAATAGCATCTAATTAAATCAGAAAAAGTAAATAATCTTTCTTTGATATTTCCTAATTTCAAAGTGTATACATAAGATTTTTCCACACAACAGGAAGTGAGAAGTGGTGGAATAGCTGTCCTCAGTGGGATATGACCCTCTTCTGTAATTCACCATTGCTTGTAAACACAAATCCTTTCCTTATTTCAAACATTGATGACGTATATAAACTCTAATAACTAACCTATTGTTTTATATTACTATAGATCTATAAGCATCTGTGTTGTCCACAGAAAACAATGTCTAATCTATGGAAGGAAGATACCATCTCTCTTCAAGAAAGCAGTTATATCTGAATTAAACTTATGCTTGCTTGCTGGATGGGATTCAACCCCCAAAAGTAATAGAATTTGTACTTAGCTAAAAAATTGATATCCATAACATAACATTTGACCACTTTCTAAACGGCATCGTGTATTCATAGCTTTCTGCATGGGAGCCGTGCCAATTTAAGCTTGTCAGAGGGGTACACAAAGTACATGACCTGGACTACCAGTTGTAGGACTTCTATTTTTGGTGGAAGACTCAGTGGCAGAGTGGGTTAGATCGCTGACGTCGTGTGCTGGCGATCAGCCGCCTCACATGTTGGATGCAAAGCTGATGAATGTGCATTGTTTTACAATCCTATCTCATCTTTGATAAATATTATTTCTGTCCGCTCACTTGTGTGGACCTGTGTAAACAAGGAGTGGAACCATATCAGCTCCATATTGTTGTGTCTTTCATAAGTAATCCCAACATGTTGAAGACATGTCTTTGTTTACTGGTCTCAGTGCATAGAGTGAGTGAGTGAGTGAGTGAGTGGGTGGGTGAGTGAGTGAGTGAGTGAGTGAGTGAGTGAGTGAGTGAGTGAGTGAGTGAGTGAGTGAGTGAGTGAGTGAGTGAGTGAGTGAGTGAGTGAGTGAGTGAGTGAGAGTGAGTGAGTGAGTGGGGTTTATCACTGCTATGAACAGTATTTCTGTTACATATCATGGTGTGGCAGCTGAAGGAGTAAAGCCAGAAGTGATGCAGGTCAAAGACCTTTACCACATTGTCCTGGAGCAGGCAAACCAAACATCATGATCAAGGAGAATCCTTGATTCACCCACAATAAGTTCTGGGTCTAAGAGCACCTTGTCTTGCAGCCCCTGGGATGACTGGGCCATCCGTTCCCCCTTCCTGATTCAGGAACACAGTCCACTGTCAGTCCCGTTACACTATTCAGAGACACCAGATGCATTGATCACATAAAAAGGAATTACCAAGTGGTTTGGTGTTACATTGAAGAAATATGAATATACTATCAACACATTTTTTATATATAATAGCAAGGATATAGACATCCCCAAACCATGCACATTGCACATCAATCATCAAGCATAAAGCAAACTGAAAAATGTCAACATTCCAATGGCACTAAGAAATCACATGACCCGTTCCACAAAGTGATCTCAGTGCGAAGACGTGCCCATTAACATAGATGAACGACAAATGTAGCCGAAATGGGCTGCACTAAAGGTCCAACTCACACAAAGCAGTGTTAGCGCCACTCCCATTGTTTACATAGACCTGCAATCCCTTGTACAAGTGGACCCAATCGTAACACTATCATTATTGTAAATCCTTAAGATCTTGCACATTCCTTCTTGCAAGAAGCCATATTACAAAGCTCCATTTGAAGATTTATGACAAAAATAAAATAAGTAATTCCAAAACAGCCATAGTAGTGCCTTAGTCTATACTAAAGAGTGAGTAACTTGGGGTTTTACCACTGCTTCAGTCATATCACAGCATGTCAGCTTCAGGCTTAAAAAAAATAAAAGAATTGGTTCTCAGGCAATGACTTTTGAAAATATAGTGTGGGTGGGCTTTTTCTGCTTGTTCAAACTAGTATGTAACCAAATAAACAGTTGTGTACCATCAACCTGGGAAAGGGCCTCCCTACAGAACGAGCATATACTCCTATTGCCGCCATTACCATCACATGAAATGCACAGTAAAGCAGTGTGCATGTAAAGGGAAGTAACTGCGTGCTATATTTGATCACATTTTTTAAGAATTAGGATTTTTTTTTTTTTAAATGGAAATAAAAACAAAACATGCAGCTGACTTTATGATGATGTGGGCGGTGACTAAGAACCAAGATTTTTGTTTGTTTTAGCCTTCTACAAGTTGAGTACGGCACAGATAGTGATGTACATCACTTGGTGGGCACAGCCATGGGGCTGACTGTACAAGGGTCATACTCAATCTGGGATTTGAACATAGAAACGGTGGCTTATGGCAGCAAGAGACACAAGTAGGCTCCGTGAGGTGTCATGGCTTATGGCAGCAAGAGACACAAGTAGGCTCCGTGAGGTGTCATGGCTTATGGCAGCAAGAGTCACAAGTAGGCTCCGTGAGGTGTGGCTTATGGCAGCAAGAGACACAAGTAGGCTCCGTGAGGTGTCGTGGCTTATGGCAGCAAGAGACACAAGTAGGCTCTGTGAGGTGTCGTGGCTTAGGCCACTGGGCCATGAACACCCTTATATAGTATCTGATCTAAGCCAGAATGGGAACAGAGGTAAGTTGTTGACCATTATGTGGTTGGTAGATTGGGTTGGTGCTTCTGCAACTGTCATTCATCAAAACAGCAAAACAACAGTGGTTCTGATCTGGTTCAGATGTACTGACCAACTGATCAGGGGAGATAACTGGGTACACTGGGGGTCCTGCAATGTTCAAACACTGGGTGGTACTGTTATACTACACTACGACAACTGCTTCCACATCTTTGACCATTTCATATGTCTGTGGCAGAAATACATTGCTATCTGTAGTGTCATGTATAGTGCACACATACAGTAGAAGTATACATACAGAAAACACATCTGTAAACAAATCAAATTTACTTGGAAAATTAAAGCAAGGGGATGATATGTACAGAGAGGACTGATTACTAAAAACTGAATCTACCAAAATATTGTTGACTACTTACAGCTATCAGTGTGACCTTGTGTGACCTTGCAATGTCCACATTCATGGATCGATCTATGCAGACGCCAGATGGCAGACGCTGCTAGACCAGATGGATGAAGATAAGACTATATGGAAGTTATAAAAAAATGAATGAATGATTTTTGGGGCAGACGCTCAGCAGACAATAGTGGTCATGTTTGAGCGCATCATTCGAAAACCGTAAAGGTATGATGACACACTAGGAAAATACGGTACCTGCCAGGAGAACCTCATCCACGTACACACATACAGAGCAACATTGTAGTTATCAAGTCTTGCACACTTAGGACAAGCTTGAGGTACTAGGGACCTGTTCTCTCATAGAATCCCACCAGGGAGCTCTGTGGGTTGTTCCCATGATTTTGTTTCTTGCTGTGGCTGTGATGTAGCTGCTCTTGGAGGACACAGCCATGTTGTGGTCAGGCAGATCCGGCAGGAGGTGACTCAGGCAGACAATGTAAGGAAATCAACTGTTAGATATTCACCCCCTGCCTCACCACCGAACACCCCGCCTCACATCATTTTAGTAAAGAAACAGCTATGTGTGTTCTATTCTTTCTCTGCTTGATGAAATACATTACATACATAGTCCTACATATATTCAGGCTTCAAGTAAATCAACTTCAGTGACAGAAAATGTACACAGATGACATGAACAGTTTTGGTTTTAAATATAAAAAATAAAATGCCTCATACCTTGAATTTTAAAAAAAAGGTGGATGAAAGTCTAATAATCAGTTTTTTTGTGGCCTGACAAGGTCTGACACCCAGAGAGGTTGACAGAAGTGTGAACAGAAGTGTGAACAGACGTTGATTTTTCTTCATGTGAGAGAGGAGCAATCAACTTGAAGAGACGATGGGCTTCCAGCCTGAGGTAATCATGGGACTCAGATGGTGTGACGGGGACACTGCCTTGTTTCTACTGGATTCAACTCTATCATGAGGCAATGTACAACATATGCGTGGAATACACAGATAGTGTAATGCAGCACCGACATCTCGATGAGGCCTCATCCCGGGATGTGATAATGAATATAACACATGTCTGCTGCAAAAGGCAACCAGGCATCAGTGATGCGGCATCTTCTCATTTTGAATTTGGAAGTAACATGCCTGAAACAAAGAGATAAAACAAACATCAGATATCATGGACGATGCAATCTAGAATCATAAATAGTAACATCCCTTCCTAACATCAAACGAGGGTCAAATCCAAAGTCAAATATGTAATAATCACGCCACAAAATTAATAACCCCTCATTTACACCTACTCATCATCATAAAATATACAGATATGAGAGAAAAGATTACACTTTATTCTCCCTCTGGGATTAGTAGGCAGTAAGGGAGATGGAGAGTCACACTGTGCAACCAGGTTCACGGTTGTCATTCTATCCTGATGATGTTGCTCATACTATCAACAACTGAACAGCTTGAACAAGACTATTTGTTATTTACAGACTGCTGTGGTATAACTGTCATATAGCCCAGTGTTAAACACCATTATAGCTGGAGTCTCTGAGGACACAATAACATCACAGTCACATCCTGACCTTGAGTGTGGTGGACATGAGGCCCAGTTCTCCATACTCCATGTGGTGTTCGATCAGATCGTCTATCATGTGGATCTCCGCACCCAGGTGCCGGATCTTGGACCGGACGACGACGAACTGGAAGATGGGGAAGAGGTCGTCCATGCACCACATGTGCTCCTCACTGAGAGAAGACTGGACAGTCTGGAACACAGGGACGGTTGGTGGTGGTTAACACTACAGCATCTGTCTCACTCAGTTCACTCATCAAACCATAAAGCCAGTTATCACCTATTTAATTCCCTAGACACAGTAGACAGTATCAAATGCAATAACCGCTAGAAGGAACGTAAGCCATTAATCATAATCAGAAATTTATCCATCATAGGACCTGGAACTATCAAGCTGCCTTTTAATCAAATACCAATTCCATTAAACAGACTCTGTAGCTACTCATCACACACTATCCGGGGTAGAAAAGGTCTTCAGCAACCCTTGCTTGCCTTAAAGGCAACTATGCTTGTCATAAGAGGCGACTAACGGGATCGGGTGGTCAGGCTCGCTGACTTGGTTGATGCATGTCATCTTATCCCAATTGCCTGGATTGTTGCTCATGATCACACCACACAGCTCGAATCACTTGTATAATCACAAAATTGCTACTAATCTAATGCTACACCCCTTAATCACAAAATAGCTACCAATCAAATACCAAACCCTTTAATCACAAAATAGCTACATATGTGTTACTCAATAATCCACAGACAATAATCATTTGCTAATTTCCCAATCAGAGTAGCCATGCCCACTAAACAGGTGCTACAGTAACCCAGGCCTAGCCCCTTTTAACCTGAGTTGAGACTTCTTGTAACACGCAAGTTCTTTACCGATGTAATCTCCAGGAACGTCTTCTCCAGAACCTTCAGCTTGTCAATGGGGCTGAATGCTGTGCTAGAAGCAGATGACACAAATACATTATCACAATGGAATAGCACAGCAGGAAAAGTAACTCTGTATATATCTGTGATGGCTTTGAACTGTTGTACTTTGATTTGGTACAGTGCTCTGGTGGAGAATGTTACAGTACATCGTTTTTGGAACAGGGCTTTTCATGAATCAGATACGTGTAGATAGATACCGCGTACTGATCAGTTGAAGCCTGAATAGGATAGATTTTTATCATCCAAAACTGGCTCCCACAGGAGATATGGCTTGGGTGAGATCAAGCGATATCTATACTGTAGATATCACTGCAAAGAAATTGCATCACAATGCTTTGCAGACCATTGTGACGTCATTGGTTACCATGACGTCACAATCAAATGACATCACTAATGGCTCTGCTACTGAAGCTGTTAGCAGTACTAAGTACACTTAAGACACTGCTTATTACTTTCTACAAACTGAAAAAGTTGGAAGAATGATGTTGGATGATAAAATATGATACGTCTCTGCATCAAGATCTTTGGACCCCTTCATAGGAGGTTGCGTCAGGTAAAAATTAAAAACAAGGATGCATGAGGTTGAACCAATCAGATGTCAGCTTACTAAATCGAATCCATTTATTTTTTTTTCCACCTTCAATCGAAAATCTTGATCTTCACAAGACAAACAGACCAAAAATACACAGGACAAAAAGTACAACATTTTAGGTTTAGATGCCATGGCGGTCAGAATTGGCAGGATGCATCTAACATCCATAACCATATGATAGTGCAACGACACATCTTTTGCAATCGGAACTCCTCGATTTTACTTGTTTTTGAGATACAGAAATCACATATGTTCTTCTCAATGCTTCATTAGAAACCTCGACTCTGATTGGCTGATGCAACAGGAAGCACAACCTCCCAGGGAGGTGTCCTCAGATTTTCACGCAGTCGAGGCATCGTATCACTGAAAGGAGTTGATTTTTATGAGATTGTGTAGAATGTTACACTATATTGTTTTGTAGAATGATCCATGTAGTTTTTACCTTAATTGCTGAAGAGTGTCCACGGCAGAGGCGTAGCAGTAATCTCTCAGCTGGGACAGTTTCTGTAACACAAACATGTCGTATCTCTCATTAAGTCAGAGTTAAAGCACTTTGTATTGCTTTCAATGGCTACAAGCTTTTCCCATTTGTTGTCCAAACTTTTACTTTCCACAAAACAAACTCCCACATATAGACTTGCTACATAAATATTTAGCTTTTAAATTAAATGAAATTGTACCTGTCCCTTGTCATGGAAGAGTTCCTCATCTATCAACCAGAACTTCCTGAAAAAACAAACAAACATGGATATCAACTCATTCACATACCCCTCCACTAAACACTGACTTCACTGAGGATTTCATGAATACAGTATCAGAGTAGTTACAAAGCTGAATCGTTATCAAAAATCACAATCAATAATTTTATACTCTTGGTAATCATACCAAAATAATATGAAGAAGCAAAAACTTCAAAGATTTTACAAATTGTTAACGATACAACTTCAGCATGTAGGTATGGACATTCAAATTTCCACAAGAGTAGTTCATTAGAAACCATTGACAATGTTCAAGAAAATTTCAGAAATACATATATAACAAACTGATTTCTCCAGTCCCTTGTAGTTCGTTATATCCATGTTCTACTGTAGTACATTTGACAATAATTCCAAAGAAATAAAAAAAAGTTGAGTGAAAGCATCACTTATATATAACATGAGTGATGTAAAGTTTCATGAGCACAGTACTGGCCTACAATGGGAACACATTGGTTTTAGAGAGACCAGGTCAAAACTTCAGCAAGAACAATATGTCAGGGTCCAGTTAATCTGTAATCTGGGTATCTGTAACTACAGCTGCTGGATATCGACAAGGGATCTCACTGTTCTATCCCCAGGTAGGCCATGAGCGCCATGTCGCCCTGTCTGTTGAGTTTGAGCACCCTCTCCCAGTACTTCTCATCATCCTTGTCATTGTACAGGGCATACAGGTCGAACAGAGGCGGGTAGATCTTTGGCAGCAGCAGGGGGTACAGCAGGCCGGCTGCCGTCATTATCTCGCTGGAAAATACATGTAAGTGAGTGAGTATGGATTTACGCCGCTTTTACCAATATTCCAGCAATATCAGAGTGGGGACACCAGAGAATATACAGGTATTGAAAATGTGACTGTGTAAGGTCTGCCTTCAGAAGATTCCATGATCTGAATGCTATTGACAAAAACTTGTCAAATCAGAAGGCATATAAACATCTTATATTCAACAAATCATGACTTTTGGAAAAGTGACAGGATCTCCTCTTCAGACATTTCTTCCAATCATTTACCATCACAGGTTACCATGGTGTCACCTGTGTCACCAGACAATGGCTGTAACCATGGTGTTACCATGCCTACCTGATGCTCTCCTCCTCCATCTCCCTGGTTGGCTGCTGGAAGTATTTCTGGGCCTCCTCTGTTGTCCTGGGCAGGCCGTCTCTACTCGACATCTCCCGGAATATCAGAATCGGTCCGCCATTCAGCGGCAGATCAGGGAACAGGATTCTACAGATAACAGAAACAATTTGATTGGTTAAGATGACTGGTAATCTTATTTGTAGATTTGATATTTGAAATCAAGGATGGTGAGATAATTTCCTGTACATGGTTAGTTACGACAATACAAAATTCTGTATCATCAAGTGGCATATTGTAGATGTATCAGGGTGTGTCACCTTGATGAGGGAAAAAGCCTGAGGTAATGCAAGTCTTAGAAATTTAACACCCTTGTGAAACCCACAAGCTCAGGCGTGGTTCTAAACAAATAATAAAATATTCAGAATAAAAAAATCACAGGTTTCTGGTATGCCTAATGGTGCAACTTTGCACATAAAATTTGTAGAATTTTCCTATTCGGAATATTCTATAAGTAATACGTTACCACTGTTATACCGAGGCTGTTGTCTCCCACAACTGCTGCTATAGCGAAATCTACCACAGAGATCTCAATTACCTCATGCAGCACGTGCGTAGCCACCTAGCTGCCATGTGACACCCTTCACTCTTGTCTCCTGCGAGAGCAAGTGCTCGGGGGACGGACGGGCGGGCAGCAGCCCAGTGGTAACGTATTACTTATAGAATATTCCGAATAGGAAAATTCTACAAATTACATTAAGTAATACGTTACCACTGTTATACCGAGGCTGACTACCACAGTAGGCGGTGGGGAGCACCTACAACCCGAATCCTGACTGCTAGCGTTCCTTCCGACCAGCGGAAGTAAACACCAAGGCGGAAGCACTCGATGCGCATGCACCTAGCTAGGCGTTACCCTATAGGAATACCAAAGCACTGTCAAGCGCATACCGTAAGGCTCAATCGTCATTGCCAAAACGATTGGTGACTCCAAACGGCCCCACTGGATAGGTATTTCATCGCCGCAGCGGATGAGAACACTGTATCCGCGTGAGCTTAATCTTAGATCAGGTTAAACAGTCGAAAAGAGGGAAATTAATTTCATTCAGACCGTATATCCCAGAGCAAGCCTACTTAAAGTATGCATTAGGCGCGTGACCTAATTCCAGTATTTGTAAGCATGCATCACAAGGTTGGGATACACGACAGACAATTAAAGACATAATTGTCAAAATACAAATAAGGACAAAGCACACAAAAAGCCGCCCTCACCTGTGGTGTGAGTGCGCTGGTTTGCGGGACCCCAACTCCTGTACCCACGGCAGTGGGAACATTGGAGTAGACCCAGATTGACCACCGTGCAAGGTCAGACGCCTGAGGAGTTCGGAATTGCGCTGGGCACACCCCTTAGGTGCCCGCTTGCGCCGCGATCCGCGGGCCAAGACGGTGCACACTCTCCACGACGGCATCAGCGACCTGTTTGAGGTAATGATTGGCAAAAACCGAGTCAGAACGCCAGTAACAACCTCGTAATATTCTGCGAACAGAGATATTCGAGTGTAGGGCAAATGTTGCCGCTAGCGCCCTGATCTCGTGCGGGATTGACCCCGCTACCGGTAACCCCCGAGACCGGTACGCCAGATTGATGACAGAACGAAGCCACAACGCAATCGAGTTGCGAGGTATGTCAACCGTGCGATTAGGGTTACACGATATGAACAGACGGTCACGCCCTTGTCTACGTTCATTCGAAGCCTTAAGATAATACTTAAGGGCCCTAACCGGACACAGCGCTCTGTCCTCAGTATCAGCAGGATGTAAGATTTCTTTGAGTGATCTTACAGTGAATTCTCTCTCCGTTTGCCCGACTCTCTGATTCTTGGCGACGAAGCCCATGAGCAGGCCCAGGCGGACCGCTCCTTCGTCACCCCTATCGAATCGTACCTTGGCGACATCGAGTGCATGAATTTCGGATACACGTGCCGCCGTGGCAAAGGAGAGGAGAAATGCTGTTTTCCAAGTCACATGCCGGAACGAAGCACTATGCAAGGGTTCATACGGAGCTTCCGTAAGTGATTGCAACACTAGGGAAAGATCCCAGGCCGGTGCCCGAAGGCGGCCCTTCTTAAGATCGTGCTGTTTGAAACCCTTGATAATACCCCGTATCACCGGCTCTTTGGAGAGACTGGTACCCATAGCAACGTCCCGTACCGTAGCAACGGACGAGACATAGTTGGCAATGGAACCCCCGGAGAGTTTCCGGGTCTCTCGCAAGTGAGACATGAAACGAGCAATATCCTGCACAGATACCTTATCTGGCGAATGAATGTGATGTTTACAACACCACTTCGTGAAAATAACCCAACGTGCATTATACACCTTCTGGGTAGAATCACGATGCATACTAACGTATGCCCGAGACGCCCGGCGAGAAAAAACTTTACTCCTCAGACGCTCGGTGACAACATCCACACGTGCAGATTGAACTGCCCTGCGTTTGGATGAAGCTGACGGGTGTGAGGGTGGATCAAGAGATCCGGTCTCACAGGCAGTGGAAGTGGCGACTGCGTGACCTGGGTCAGCAAGTCGGGGTACCACGATCTGTTCGGCCACATGGGCGCGATCAGTAACATTCGACAGCGAACTCCTCGGAGCCGGCTTAGAATGTGTGGTATCAACGCTGTCGGCGGGTAAGCATCAGCGACCAAGCCCGTCCAGTCTAACGCGAGAGCATCGTGATCGATGGCCCTCGGGACCGGGACTGGTGATACAAACAACGGGAGTTGATTGTTGAACCGCGTTGCGAACAGGTCGACCATCGGACGACCCAAACGTTCGCACAGCCACTGAAACACTACTGGGTTCAGCATCCACTCTGTGGGGCTCGGATCCTGAGGCCTCGATAGAGCATCGGCCAGTACGTTCCGCACACCTGGGATGTGACGGGCGCGTATCTGGCACGGGACACTGTCCACCAGAGCGTAAAACTCGAACGTGAGATCGAGTAGCGAGTGACTGTGGGTTCCCCCCAGTTTGTTCACATAGGACACTACCGTCGTGTTGTCGGTCGCCAGCATGAGCCGGGCGTCGACGAGACGATGCTTCCAGTGATTGACTGCGTTGATCACTGCCTTACACTCGAGACAAGTGATGTGAAGACCTAGTTCGTCTAAGCACCACAGCCCCGAGCTCACCTCCCCCTTTAGATGGGCGCCCCAGCCCACTAGAGAGGCGTCTGTATACAGGGTCAACGTGGCCCGGTAGGGCCGCATAGAGACTCCTGATAAGACAATGTAAGGGACCGTCCACCACTCCAGATGCGGTCGGAGCCGATCCGGGAGGGCGACGGTCGCACTGTTCACCTCCGTTGCTAACAACTGGATTAAAAACCGTTGCAGCGGGCGGAGTTGGAGACGACCCCGTGCGGTGCAGTCCTGGGCTGATACAAGTAGCCCTAACAGCTGTTCCCAAAAGTGAACAGTCTGTTGCACCGCTAAGACTTTGGCAATCATCGCCTGAATTTTGTGCCACCGGTCTGGGGGGACAAAGAGGCGATGGGACACCGTGTTGAACCGACCTCCGATGAACAGCAAGTTCTGAGAAGGGGTTAACTCGCTCTTGGGGAGATTGATAATCCACCCAAATTGCTCCAAGAGCCGACGTGCGAAATCGAGATGGCGTGACAGGGTGTCCGTCATTCGATTTGCTACTAGCGAGTCGTCCAGGTACGCGAAGTACCGGACACCCCTCCTGTGGAGGAACCCCACTATGGGGGTGGTTAACCGGGTGAACAGCCAGGGAGCGGACGTGTGAATCATTCTGAGTTCGGCACTGTCCTACTTGGGAACGAGAAATATCCTGGAGTAAAACCCCGGTGTTATTTCTGGTAGAGCTAACTCCCGTACTGCCCCTTCTCCACCAACCTGCCGATGGCATCGGCGAGTATGGGAAGATCGGTTTCCGAATCGAAACCTGCCAACGGGGCAACGGTGAGCGGCGGATTCGCTTTGAGATCAAGCCGATAGCCGTACCGAATCGTGTTGACCACCCACGGGTCGTCGAACACTTGTTCCCAATTCTCCCAGTAAGTCTGGAGTCTGGCTCCCACTGGGGAAGGAGAGGGGGCCCTGACAGGTTGCGACAGGCGCAACTGTCCAGGGCCAAGTGACTCGGGTTCGCCTAAGGGCCAACCGAAGTTGGCGCTGTCGGCATACGAACCCCTCCAATGAGAGTCACCTGGAGGGGCCCTCGCCGTCCGTCGACGACTTGGGCTTCCCCCCAGTTCCCCGTTTTCCCGCGAAAGGGCAGCTGATTGCCCATACCGGAGCCCTCAGGGCGGGGCTACTTCCCAGAGGAAGAAGAACCCGACCCCTTAGACCTACCGGCCGCAGCAGCCTGGGGCGCGCTCCGGTTAGGAGCGGCACCCAGGCGCCTATGCAGGGACCCAACAAGAGCAAGTGTGTGCCGAGAGTCCTCGGCAACGGAATCAAGGGAAGCATTTAAACTGAGCAGGCAGTTGTAAATGCGCTGGTCACGGTCCGTGGGAGAACCTTCGACCAGACGGGCCGCTGCAGCCAAGTAAGTGTCTCCGTGAGACATGGAGTGCCGAGCGAGGGCGTCCAGCTGGTGCAAGGTAGCTTGCGTTACCGTAGCAGCCGGTGGGGCACGGACACCCAACCGCTCAACATGGGCCTCCGCGGTAGGACCAGCCTCGGGAAAGGCAAGGTCATGTACCGGGAATAAACCCTTTCTCCACGACGTCGGAGGCAACGGGAGACCCCGACCGGAGGCCGCCGCGAAGGCGTTCTCCAAGGAAGGCTTGAAACCGCGCAGCAAGGTTGATGCGGGGAAAGCCGAGTCGAGGGACTCATCGTATACCTCGGAGGAACCCACAGTCGTGGATTCCCCGCGGTACCGGCCGGGGCATGTCCTCAAAGAGGTCATAAACCATGGCCACGCGGTCCTAAACCGATAGCGGGAGCAACGGTTCGGGGGAAGGACCGGTGACCACGGGAGCCGCCGCCGTACCGGTGGACCCCGCGTCCGACCCCGCGGCCACCGAAGTGGCCGGGGACGGAACAGCCAGCGGCCTATCCTGAGATAAGGCCGCCAGCTTGGAGTCCACAAGTTATGCAAGTAATGCAGCGACGGAATCCCCGGACAGCACACGGGCCGCCAAGAGATCCGCCGCTTTACCGGTGGACCCCGCGTCCGACCCCGCGGCCACCGAAGAGGCCGGGGACGGAACAGCCAGCGGCCTATCTTGCGATAAGGCCACCAGCATGGAATCCACAAGTTTCGACAACAATGCGGCGACGGAATCCCCAGACAGCCCGAGGGCCGCAAGGGGATCCGCCGCAGCCGAGGAGGTGGTACCCGCACGGGGACCCCGACCGGACGAACCGGCCACCACAGGGGTGGAGACGGACTGTACGTACAGCCGGTACCGCTCAAAATCCGCAGGCCCCAGACCTTCGCACAGGATGCACCGGGTGTCCCCGCAAGGAACCCTGCACCGCGGGCAACGAACGTGGGGATCCCGGGACGACAAAAACTTTCTGCACACCCCATAACTCCGAGGAGCAGGGGTAGAGGGGGTGGATACTGGGGACATATCCATGTCAGACATTGATTGTTTGCTATAAACAAAGAACAAAACATGGTTACAACACACGCACCACAATGATTCACAAACGAACATTTTCACAAGAAAATAAACGAGCAATGTGAACATATAACATACACTTATAACTTTTATTAAAGAAATAAGTTATGTTAACCCCCAAAACATACAAGAACAGGGGAAACGTAAAACACAACGTGCATACGCGAACCCCGCAAGTATATAGAAAAAAGGGCGGGAAAAATTTTCCGTTTGGCGGGAAAATTATAACCAAGCGTAGCTACCGCAACGCCCCATAAAAGCACAGTTTATTAGAGAATAAACTATAATAAATATCACCAAATCTTCAAGGAACGCTTCAGCAGGAGAAAACACGTCTTGCTAAGCAGACGAAGGAGACAAGAGTGAAGGGTGTCACATGGCAGCTAGGTGGCTACGCACGTGCTGCATGAGGTAATTGAGATCTCTGTGGTAGATTTCGCTATAGCAGCAGTTGTGGGAGACAACAGCCTCGGTATAACAGTGGTAACGTATTACTTAATGTAATTGCATGAACTTAGATGATTGGGACACCTGTGCCTCCATTAAAAAAAAAGTTGAGACGATAAGGATTTTCCTACCGGACCACGCTGTACATGCGCTGGACGTAGGACTTGACCTCCTGGATAGCGTGATGCAGCAAACGAGGATGGGCCCCAACACCGATGTATGCGGCACGGAACACGTCCACCAGATTTTCCATCAGCTTGCCTAGAGGGTGGAATGTGGTGTCAAATGCCTGAAACACAAGATTGAGCAAAAGAGTGAGAGGGTGAGAGGGAGATTTAATGCTGCTTTGAACAGGATCACATCATTGTCATATGCCAGCTTCATATTGTAGGAACACAGTGACATACATAGTCTTTTAAATGTTTACTTTTTAACAGTTCGCTGTACAAATCTTCTCCTGTCATTATCCCTTTTATAACAGTTTACGCTTGCTGTGATATAAATACATATATTTTAAAATACCATTCCTTGTCTTCACTGTGATAGTGTTCAATTTTCTAAATGTTTTTACTTGTTGTTCTTATCTCATCTTAAAATAGATCCTTTTACCATTGTTAAGCTTGCTTGCTTGTCAATGGTACATGTATAATGATCTATACTGAAATGTCGCCTTAACAGTAATTAAAGAAGGTGTTATCCATAAATTGTGTCTACGTTGTCATCCGTCAAGTAATGTCTATCAAACAATTCAAGGTTATTGTTTCATGACAGTCCAAGTTCACTGCCTTCAGGGTGCTGTTGTTACCTCTTCAAGGTTTACACATCTCCCAATCCATATTTCACTATGTGGAATGAAATGAAAATGTTGTCAATGCTGCTTTTCACTTTTAAAGTAGATTCATATAGCAAGGGTAGTAATATTACCTTTCTGACTTGTGATTCAAACAAACAGTAAATATTTAAATATTTAAATACAGGATATTTTATGAATGACTACTTTTTTATTCTATAATGATGTGACGTTTCAGAATAGATCCTTATACCGTTGTCAAACCAAATCATCCATAGCACAGGCTCAGCGTGCGATGGCACAAAATAGGGGTAACTACTTGTCCTAGATGTATATTTCAATGCCTTTGGGGATTCTCAGTCAATTCTTTACTTCGATTTTGGGTGTATTTACCCCTGCAGTCATTAGGATGGGATGCATTGGATGCCTGTTGTCAAAACACAGGTCAGGCTTGACCTCCATGGTATTTAGCATCTAATGCATTCTATCTGTAGTGTAGAATGATAGATGTGTACCTTTGTATTCTATGTATCACTCTCGACAATTGATCCCAACAGCTTGGGCCTGACCTATGCTCAGTCAGGTACACATAAGTCAGGTACATGTAGTCGATTCTCCTGTGTTTATACCCAATGCTTGGGAAGGTTGTCAGTTGTGCAAGGCGAATCGATCCCTAGCTTGGCATGACTGATGCTCAGTCATGTACATGTACCAATAGCTTTCTAGTCACATGTTTGCAGTGAGAATCCACTTATGCCAAACTTTGTTAGGGATGTGTTATATTGAATGTGTCTCGGGTATTAAATCATTGTTGCAATTTTTGTGTTGAATTGTCATTATAAATCTATTATGATGTGACGTTTCGGAATAGATCCTTATACCGTTGTCAAACAAGAACACAGTATAAGGATTTATACCGAAACATCGCATCATAATAGAATAAAGAAGTTGTCAGTCATAAAATATCTTGTCTTTACTGTTACTTACCAACTTCTAAAACTGCCAGTTAAACAGTTCACAAAGCCATACATCAGCAGTACATCTCATTTTATTACATAACAATTCCTCAACTTAAAAAGATAATTAATGAAATATGTTTTTGCATTTTGATTCTTGTTTTGAACACATAGCTGTTAACTTGAGTGTTAGGTGCAGCACCTTCTGCAGGTACTCCTTGATCTGGTGGTAGTTCTCCATGGTGAGGTTGCCGGTGTTGTGGACGGGGATGGTCTCCAGACTCTCCAGGCTGACACTCTGGTGCCGCAGCTTGTGTGGGGAACTGGGGACACAATAAACAACACTGCACACATGGACATGAGGCATTCACAATACACATGTTTACTGCATCATAGCTTCACTATTCAATATACTAGGTAAATCAGGTGAGATAATGTCCCAAATACTGCCTACCTTTATAGTACAATATTGTCAACTTTGTCATACAACATTGTCTACTTCCAAGGTTAGATATGACTTACCTTGCATGTGAACTATTGCCTTAGTCTCTCTTGTTATGTGATATTGCCTACATTCACTTCTTCTCCAGTTGGATATTACCTGTACTCACTTTTCCAGTGAGATACTGCCTGTACTCACCACTTCTCCAGTGAGATATTGCCTATACTCACCACTTCTCCAGTGAGATATTGCCTGTACTCACCACTTCTCAAATGAGATATTGCCTGTACTCACCACTTCTCCAGTGAGATATTGCCTGTACTCACCACATCTCTGGTTAGATATTGCCTGTACTCCCCTGTCAAGTGAGATGTGGCCTGTACTCACCACTTCTCCAGTGAGATAGTGCCTGTACTCACCACTTCTCCAGTGAGATATTGCCTGTACTGACCACATCTCTGGTTAGATATTGCCTGTACTCCCCTGTCAAGTCAGATGTGGCCTGTACTCACCTCGCATGCCATTCTCCTGTTATTCCCTACATCTCCAGTGTAATGTTGGCTGTATTTTACTCTTCTCCAGTGAGATATTGCCTGTACTCACCTCTTCCCCAGTGAGATATTGCCTGTACTCATTTCTTCCCCAGTGAGATATTGCCTGTACTCACCATTTCTCCATCTCCTTCAGGTGCTTTCTGCCGGTGGTGAGGATAACAGCCACACTTTCCCAGGCCTTGTCGGAGTTGGACTTGCCGTCTCCCTTGTAACCCAGCAACGAGCAACAGTGGCGGAAAATATCAGCCCATTTGTGTTCAGCAGGCACAGACAGCTTGCCATACACACTACAACAAGACATATCCTGTAGTGGCATTTCCACACAGTTACCAGTGTACAGTGCATGACGAGAGTGAGTGAGTTAAGTCAGACACCACTTGGAACAGTATTTCAGTTATATCCCAATGCGTCTGCTTGAAGGAAGAGGAAAGCTTGAAGTGATGCAGCGAGAAAATGTACAAGGACATGTAGAGGGTTAACCAAAAATATGACGAGATTTGGGGTGGGTCATTATTTTTAGTACATTAGTGCATCAAAAACCTCCGACCCTACCAGTCCCTAAATATATCTGAACCATTCACTACAATATCTTTGCTTCAAGCCAAATTCAAACAAAAAGACACTTAAAATAGCTGTCCAATCAAATTACACTCATTGGCAAGAGACATTCTGTGCTAAGAGAAACTGAGATGTGAACAAGGCTTTGATGAAGAAGTCCAGGGTATTTATCATACTGGAAAAATATGCCCTGGATTATGGAGGATGATACTTACTCTGAATTAATCCCAAGTAGGTGTGAGGATCTCCTCTCAACAGGAGGGGGACTTGTGGCCTTGATAAAGGTTCCATTAAACTTGAGGTCTTCGTTCCATGAGCCATTGAAATAACCCTCCAGCTTGTCCCCTGTTGGAAGGATCAATGTACCCTGGGGATGACAGCATGATTCAATTTAATCTACAACTGTGACTGAAGTCATACGTGTAAGGTCTCAAAAAGTACTTCAAATTATTATGAATAACACAATTTTCATATATGGGAATACTGTTTTTGATAAACGATTATATCAAATTCAGTGGGCCAAAAGCTCTGTCTCATCAATGTCCAGATGTAGTGAGTGAGTGAGTTGGGTTTAATGCCACTTTTAACAGTTTTCCAGTTATATCACGGCGTGTCAGCTTTATGTTGGAGGAAAGCCCAAAGTGATGCAGGTCTCAGACGTTTACCACTTTGGTGAAACCCAGGAGCACGGGTATGGTGCTGACAAACCTAGAAACATAATCAGGGCGAACCGGGATTCGAACCCACAATCATAGGTTTCTGGCGTTCCCAAGGGACGCAACTCTGCACAGCGAATCACGACGCCTTAGACGACTGGGCCACCCGTGCCCCCTCCAGATGTATCGACTCCCTGCTGCACACAATACTCACATTGCCTTGTAACTGTGTGATCCCAGCAAACTGACCCTCATAGCAGCTGTTATCCTCAGTCAGCATCAGACCAAACCCCTGAAGCATGTCATCACATACACACATCACAAGTTGTAGGGATTCACCACATTGGTGGCGCCAATTGCTCAATTAACTTGGAACACGGTTTCTGTAATGGTGTATCTGACCAAATTGTGGGGGAAAACCTGAAGAGTCACAAGTTGTGGACATTCACCACATTGGTGGAAGCCAATTGCTCAATGAACTTGGAACACGGTTTCTGTTATAGTGTATCAGACCAATTGTAGGGGAAAACCTGAAGTGACACAAGTTTTAGGCATTCACCACATTGATGGAAGCCAATTTCTCAATGAACTTGGAACACGGTTTCTGTTATAGTATATCGGACCAATTGTGGGGGAAAACCTGAAGTGTCACAAGTCGTAGGCATTCACCACATTGGTGGAAGCCAATGGCTTAATGAACTTGGAACACGGTTTCTGTTATAGTGTATCGGACCAATTGTGGGGGAAAACCTGAAGTGACAGAAGTCGTAGGCATTCACCATTTGTGCTGACGACTCCAGAAACAAATGTCATTAGAACAAATCTGCGATGTAAACCCATGATCTGCTGATCCAGGTGTAGTTAAGGGATGGAACTCTGCACATCCTATTGCAGTGCCTTTGATCACTACAGTGATTCACTTATTACCACTTGCCACAGACTTCATACATGTAATCAAGCATGCCATGGCATTACTCACGGTTAGTTTGTTTGCTGAGAAGGTGCCCTCAAAGTACATCCCATCCAGGGTGACGACAATGCCCTTGCCGTGCCGCGCATCATCATTCCATATGCCCATGTACTTTTCACCTGGCAACAAGATACCACCACGTGTAAAGGGAGGAACTAAACTGTCACTTCCTCTTCTGATTCCTTGGACGATTTCAATAATCCTTGTAAATCATCTTACATGATCTGCATGAGGAAAGCATCATCAAAATTGCAACTATTACCTCTAAGAATATCATCCTGTACACCGTAGCCATGGCGCTTGTCTGCCAGCCACTCCCCGATGTGGATGCTGGCGTTGCTAGACATGTGACGACCCTGGCGGTAGGTCCCGTGACCAAACCTCTGGCCATCCTTGAAATACCCCTCGTAGCAGTCGCCATTCGAATACCTGGGTGAAGTAGCAAAGTTAGTTTCTGATGTTAACAACAGGGGCTAGGATATCAGTACAGTTATTGTCGGTATTTTTCATGAAGCATTATAATATTTGCTTGATGCTGATTGTCTACCCATTGCTTTCATTGTTTGTGAAGCAGCCAACAGCAATGTTGTGGCATATCAAACAAATAAAAATGACATTATCCATTGTTTATGATGTGAAAGATGTTTTTACATGACGTCATTCCAACAAAAGACTTGTGATCAGGAACACCACATTTTTCTTTATTTTCTGAAAAATAAAAAATAATAGAACAACCGATTCGCAACTTGGAATTACACATTATCTGTCCCCCATGAAATAATTCACTCCATAACACGTATGGCAATTAAGAAACAGCTTTGTACAGATGCTGCATAAAGTACTGAGATTGGGAACAGACCTGGTGCTACCATATCCACTGAGCTTTCCATCCTTCCATTCGCCTTCCATACACACAGTGGAGGTACTTCCCTTCGGTATCGTCAGCACTCCATGTCTGAAACAGAGCATATGTTAGGGTGTGGTACTGATTAAGGCTGGGAGAAGTCTAAAATTACTACCCAGGTACCCGACCCCCTATAACCCGACTGTACCCAGGTAACCACTCTAGGTCTCAAGTTAGGTATAAAATGTTCAAATGGGAAGTATTTTACTGGAGCCCTGGCAAAAAGTATTTAGATATAGTATAAAACGATCTGATCGTGCATACACTGAAGTTGACTGAAGCTTTGTCTTTACTCAAACATATAAAAATCAGAAGGAATGTGTGCATAGTCAGAAAGAAATGCGAACTATACTGACTTGTACTTTTAAAGTGTAACCATGAAATGTTATTGTTAACGTCATAAAAAAAATATATCACATAACTAACCACAGGTCAGGGTAGTCCTGTGGGTACCCGGGGCCTACTCAGTACCCACCCGAACCAAGTACCCGAGTTACCCGTCCGAGCCCTAGTACTGATCATGCAATAAGAGGTCTGATACTACTCTACTTTTACTAAGCAGGGACTGTTGGAAGTAGAGGTCCTTGAGGTTTCTAAATCGAAATCTGGGGACCAACTCATTTAAAGCTTTTAACATTCAGGCTATGATAAAGATCCTACGACTTTCATGCTTAATTTTGAACACTGTTAAATATCAAGATTTTCTTTCTCAGCAGATGTCATTTCTAGTAGTAAGTTATTAGTTTGTTGCGTCTTAATCTCCCTTTCAAAAGTCCAGTAGTTTTGTATCATATACAATTGAATGTGCAAGTCATTTTGTCACTGCCAGACCTTTAGCAATACTCTGATATATTTTCCTTACAACAAATCTATATTGCTGTCACTTGATATATGAACAATATATGACATCTAAAGGGAGGCTGATGGGAATCAGACATTAAGTTAACCAACTGAAATAAACCCTTAAGTTAGATAATTTTAATACACAGTTGGACGTTGAAGACGATAACCTCCAGAATGTTGAATAATTGTCAACTTGGGGCTGATTTTTTGTACTATATGCAGGGATGAGAATGTTTATTTTAAAATACACCCTGGAAGTTAGCCGAGGTCTGGGGATCTATATGATTTATGCTTACATTGTTATGGCATGCATAACAAAAGTTAAAAAATCTCATCCAAGTATATGATATAACCACGGACTTGTTATATAGGTCCGTGATATAACCAATGAAATATTCAAGATGGCCTCCTCACCCATGCTGGAGTCCCTGTTTGAACATGCCGATGTACGTCCTGCCATCATTCCACTTCAGTTCACCACTGCAGGAAGACAGACATTTATTACTAGCTAAAAATAGTGATGTTGCCTTGCAGGGACTGTCTCCATCAGTAATAAACCAACACACCTTACTTATACCTAAACACCAACTATAGGCTCCAAGTGAGACTGTGCTCAGCTGGGGAATGAAAGAGTGAGTTAAAATTTAACAGCGTTTCAGCCATATAGCAATGAGAACAAGTTGTGAGATTAAAAAGAATATGTCATCAATACATCATAGTTATGTATAAAAGCAAATTGTTAAACATATTTTGCAAGCAGTACTACAATGTAGCCACTGTCGTCATAGCCACTGTATATATTTGACCTAAACATGTACAACTGAAATTCCTTGTAGGCACGCCCTGTCACTGGTGTCAGCCTACACTAAATGGTTCACACAACATATATGCTTAGATCTCTGAACATATATCCTTAGATCTCTGAACATATAGGCTTAGATCTCTGAACATATAAGCTTAGATCTCTGAACATATATGCTTAGATCTCTGAACATATATGCTTAGATCTCTGAACATATATGCTTAGATCTCTGAACATATATGCTTAGATCTCTGAACATATATCCTTAGATCTCTGAACATATAGGCTTAGATCTCTGAACATATATCCTTAGATCTCTGAACATATATCCTTAGATCTCTGAACATATATCCTTAGATCTCTGAACATATAGGCTTAGATCTCTGAACATATATCCTTAGATCTCTGAACATATAGGCTTAGATCTCTGAACATATATCCTTAGATCTCTGAACATATATGCTTAGATCTCTGAACATATATGCTTAGATCTCTGAACATATATGCTTAGATCTCTGAACATATATCCTTAGATCTCTGAACATATATCCTTAGATCTCTGAACATATAGGCTTAGATCTCTGAACATATATCCTTAGATCTCTGAACATATATCCTTAGATCTCTGAACATATAGGCTTAGATCTCTGAACATATATCCTTAGATCTCTGAACATATATCCTTAGATCTCTGAACATATATCCTTAGATCTCTGAACATATAGGCTTAGATCTCTGAACATATATCCTTAGATCTCTGAACATATAGGCTTAGATCTCTGAACATATATCCTTAGATCTCTGAACATATATGCTTAATTCTCTGAACATATATCCTTAGATCTCTGAACATATATGCTTAGATCTCTGAACATATAAGCTTAGATCTCTGAACATATATGCTTAGATCTTTGAACATATAGGCTTAGATCTCTGAACATATAGGCTTAGATCTCTGAACATATAAGCTTAGATCTCTGAACATATATGCTTAGATCTTTGAACATATAGGCTTAGATCTCTGAACATATAGGCTTAGATCTTTGAACATATATGCTTAGATCTCTGAACATATATGCTTAGATCTTTGAACATATAGGCTTAGATCTCTGAACATATATCCTTAGATCTCTGAACATATATGCTTAATTCTCTGAACATATATCCTTAGATCTCTGAACATATATGCTTAGATCTCTGAACATATAAGCTTAGATCTCTGAACATATATGCTTAGATCTTTGAACATATAGGCTTAGATCTCTGAACATATAGGCTTAGATCTCTGAACATATAAGCTTAGATCTCTGAACATATATGCTTAGATCTTTGAACATATAGGCTTAGATCTCTGAACATATAGGCTTAGATCTTTGAACATATATGCTTAGATCTTTGAACATATATGCTTAGATGTCTGAACATATATGCTTAGATCTTTGAACATATATGCTTAGATCTCTGAACATATATGCTTAGATCTCTGAACATATATCCTTAGATCTCTGAACATATATCCTTAGATCTCTGAACATATAGGCTTAGATCTCTGAACATATATCCTTAGATCTCTGAACATATATCCTTAGATCTCTGAACATATAGGCTTAGATCTCTGAACATATATCCTTAGATCTCTGAACATATATCCTTAGATCTCTGAACATATATCCTTAGATCTCTGAACATATAGGCTTAGATCTCTGAACATATATCCTTAGATCTCTGAACATATAGGCTTAGATCTCTGAACATATATCCTTAGATCTCTGAACATATATGCTTAATTCTCTGAACATATATCCTTAGATCTCTGAACATATATGCTTAGATCTCTGAACATATAAGCTTAGATCTCTGAACATATATGCTTAGATCTTTGAACATATAGGCTTAGATCTCTGAACATATAGGCTTAGATCTCTGAACATATAAGCTTAGATCTCTGAACATATATGCTTAGATCTTTGAACATATAGGCTTAGATCTCTGAACATATAGGCTTAGATCTTTGAACATATATGCTTAGATCTCTGAACATATATGCTTAGATCTTTGAACATATAGGCTTAGATCTCTGAACATATATCCTTAGATCTCTGAACATATATGCTTAATTCTCTGAACATATATCCTTAGATCTCTGAACATATATGCTTAGATCTCTGAACATATAAGCTTAGATCTCTGAACATATATGCTTAGATCTTTGAACATATAGGCTTAGATCTCTGAACATATAGGCTTAGATCTCTGAACATATAAGCTTAGATCTCTGAACATATATGCTTAGATCTTTGAACATATAGGCTTAGATCTCTGAACATATAGGCTTAGATCTTTGAACATATATGCTTAGATCTTTGAACATATATGCTTAGATGTCTGAACATATATGCTTAGATCTTTGAACATATATGCTTAGATCTCTGAACATATATGCTTAGATCTCTAAACATATAAGCTTAGATCTCTGAACATATATGCTTAGATCTTTGAACATTTATGCTTAGATCTCTGAACATATAGGCTTAGATCTCTGAACATATTAGCTTAGATCTCTGAACATATATGCTTAGATCTCTGAACATATATGCTTAGATCTCTGCAGCATGAATCAATGTGTCCGCTAAGGATACATATGTCTTGTGATAAGGCAAACTACAAAAAGCTGTACTCAGAAGCAAAAGAAATAAAAGTGTTTTTTATTTGTTTTTTTTAGCACACCCTTAATGGGATTTGATCCCTTAATCTCTGACAGAAGTAAATTCTTCATACCAGAGACCATATAATAGATCTAATATAATCTATTATATGGTCTCAGTTCATATTAAATAGATGAAGTTTTTCTTAAAAGATGACCGACCCACACAATTTCATGCCAAACAAATATCCAGTAATACAACATGTATTCATGTTTTAACTTATAGTTACTGTTAAAGTCATAAATATATGTCCTAAATAATTCAGTATACAAATCAGACTTACTATCCATGCAGTTTGCCATTTAACCAGGACCCTGAGTAGGTTGCATCTTTAAACACTCCATTCTTGACGAAGGAGTACTTGGCGTGGCGGATGAGGGGTGGAGTCAGGCGGTCCACACTGCCCCGCCTTCCTGAGGAGGAAGACTTCTGATTGGACAGAACTTTGTTGATTGCAGAGTTCAAGGCCATTACCCATTCAGCCTGTGGACAAAATCCCAATTTGACAAATAAGACATTTCAATATATTAATAAAAGATAATCTTAATCAACAGTATTGTTCAAATAATATCTGATATATTCAGATGTAGTGTTATTTGATATCAAACAAATTACTTTTGCATTTCCTATGCTAACAATATATTGATTTGTGGATACAATTGTAACTGGACCTGTTTCTACACTAATCATTTACAACAAGCCAAGAAAAGACAAATACATTCACTAAGCAGAGGTGAGCTGAATCACTAACTCCGGCTCTCCTATCACTAATAGTCTATAACACAGCACAGAATTAGAAGCAATATGCTCAATGTGAGTTCGGCATACACACAGGTCTACATTAAAAAACATGGCCACTTTCAAGCTTGATAGTTAACTGAATTGACTGAAAAGTTTGTTTCCTGGATACCAAGATATGGGAGGAAAGTCCTTATCAGATGTTACATTTGTATTTATGAATGCTGAATTTAGGGGAAAAGACTAGCAAAAGTCACGTCAAGTATTGGTGATATCACCGCATGTTTCAATCATAAAAGAGTGTAATTTCATAAGAGGTCTATTTGTAGTGGAGTGTCATTAGAACCGGACTTGAAACAAAGCTATGGTGCAGAATAGGTGCAGGGTGTTTATCATAACACAATGGAGATAGATATGATAATCAAAGGAGCCATATCTCACCTTCTCGGCAGGAGAGCCAGCAATGAGGTCCACGGTCTCCTCCGGGGACGTCACAATAATGCCCACCCTGGAAGAAACCATGGCGTCATCACAAGCCTTGCCAACACCAACTGATGAACAATATCCAGCAAGACGATTCAGCTCTTAATTTCATCATGCTCATTTAACCATGAAATCACTCACTCATTTCTAATTTATTCAAAGGACACCTGCTTTTGAAGATAGCAAGTTTTGATTTTCATTTACCATAACCGAACATTTTTTTTTCAAAATGGCCCTGCATACTCAATGTCAAGTCTATTCTTAGATAAACAGCCTCTTAAGAAAACAAACATTAGTTGTTAAGAGTTAATTCCCTTTGAAAGAAAAAATAATCCTTGTATACTTGTCCTATTTATGAGTGGCTCCTAAAGCCTCTATGATAAACCACACAAGCACTGTTGCTTTAAAGAAACAAGCCTCTGTTCAGACAGTCATCACTCACTGTTGTGCGGAGTCGGACTCGGAAGGAGGAACCTCCACCCACACAGTCTCCAGGGGCAACACCTGATTCAGGTTGTACTGCAACCAAGCATCATCAAGTTAGGATTATACAACATCTGCTGTATGAAAGCAATTTATTCCTAAAACATGGTACTTATGATTGTATACATAGAGATTATTATAGGAGCATGTGTGTCATACTGATTTTACAAAACAAGTGTCAGAATACTTGTATTTCCTTAGGGAGAGCGAGGGTAATTTATGAATTCTTACACAACTTTCGTAAAATCAGCATGACACACATGCAAGTGTAATAAGTTCTTTTTTACCTAATATTTCTTAATCCTTTTGAGCTCCCCTTTAGAAAAATGCACTGATCACAACCAATCGTTTAGAAAACCATAGTTATCAAATGACATCAACAATCTTCAGCTATGACGTCATTTCTAATGTTACGTCATTCCAACCTTACGTCAGAATAAGATTCGAATAACGTCAACAATGCCAACTGGAGTACGTAAACAATAAACTAGTGTTTGTGGAGTGATATTTGCCAAAGAGCACACACGATTATCATGAACTTGCTTATTTCCAACCAGGAACTCGATGGGTAATAATTATACTCATCACATGGCTAATCTGGAATATTGCATTGTTATCCTGATGATTAAAACACTTCAGGAATACCAGGATGGGTATGTTGATGTTACCATAACAATACACATACATTCAACAGTAACTGTGTGGAAGGCAGGATTCCTGGTTAACAGGGTCCGGATTTATGACGTTTCACAGTATTATACCAGTACCTGAACATTGTATTATTACAATTATCTACCAGTACCTGAACATGGTATTATTACAATTATCTACCAGTACCTGAACATGGTATTATTGCAATTATCTACCAGTACCTGAACATGGTATTATTACAATTATCTACCAATACCTGAACATGGTATTATTACAATTATCTACCAGTACCTGAACATGGTATTATTACAATTATCTACCAGTACCTGAACATGGTATTATTACAATTATCTACCAATACCTGAACATGGTATTATTACAATTATCTACCAGTACCCGAACATGGTATTGATGGTATTATAGTGATTATCTACCAGTACCTGAGCATGGTATTATAATTATTATCTACCAGTACCTGTGCATGGTATTAAAGCAATTATCTACCAGTACCTGACCATTGTATTATAGCAGTTATCTACCAGTACCTGAGCATGGTATTATAGTGATTATCTACCAGTACCCGAACATGGTATTATAGCAATTATCTACCAGTACCTGAGCATAATATTGTAGTGATGATCTACCAGTACCTGAGCAGGATATTATAGTGATTATCTACCAGTACCTGAGCAAAATATTGTAGTGATGATCTACCAGTACCTGAGCGGGATATTATAGTGATTATCTACCAGTACCTGAGTGATTATCTACCAGTATCTCAGCAGGCTATTATAGTGATTATCTACCAGTACCTGAGCAAAATATTGTAATGATGATCTACCAGTATCTCAGCAGGATATTATAGTGATCATCTACAAGTACCTGAGCAAAATATTGTAATGGTGATCTACCAGTATCTCAGCAGGATATTATAGTGATTATCTACCAGTACCTGAGCATAATATTGTAGTGATGATCTACCAGCACCTGAGCAAGATACTGTAGTGATTATCTACCAGTACCTGAGCAGGATACTGTAGTGATTATCTACCAGTACCTGAGCATGGACGAAGATGTCATTAAAGAGGAGTAGCAAGTGAGAGGAAAAGCGTCCAGCACTGGGGATGGACACAGGGTGATTCTTGCTGTCCCGGAGCAGACGACGACTGGGGATCCGCAGAGTGTCCTGAAAGAAAACGGCAATACACACTTGTCATCATGATGCAAAATATACATGGCTATTAGGCTAAAAAAAATAAAATTTTTGGTTCTCAGGCACCGCCGCATCATCATAAAGTTCGCCGCATGTTTTGTTTTTATTTCAATTATAAAAAAAAAAATCCTTAAATATTCCATGTCTCGAACGCACGACCTCAACAGTGAAATGCTACAATACTTAAAAACAATGCGATCCAATATAGCATGAAGTTACTTCCCTTTTCATGCACACTGCTTTACTGCGCATCTTGTGTGTTATGGTCATGGCGGCAATAGGAGTTTGTGTGCTTGTTTTGTTGTTTGCAAATTTGGTCAATGAAAACATTAAATTTGCGATACAACATCACTAGACATGATGATGGTATTCAAATACAAATTCAATAGTATTTGTGTACTGTGTGAGGGACAATGTTTCATACGCAGAGGTTATTTGTCTCGTAATAAACATGATAAAGTGGGAAATCGATGCTAATTCATATACCCCGTCTATAAAGCAAATCGGAGTGAAGCACATCACTAGAGCATACAAAACCCCTACATTTGCAATAAAATTGTGTTGGTTTTCGCAGAGAAAAAATAACATTGTAGCCCTTGAGTGAATTCAGGGAAATGGAACAGATTATAACAATTTATCTTGGCCAATACAAATTTGAAATTTGAGGGAAAACATCACTAAACATAGATCTAATGATTAGCCGATTTAATTGTATATACTGTTCTCATTGGCATTGTTTTATATGCAGAGATTCAGATTACTGTGCGTCTTGTCTCGTAAACATCAACTGTACACACGTTTCTCGGAATCTACCGGTGATTCGGTCAAAAATTACCCAATAATATAACTTTAAAGAATTTTGATACAATGAGTGGAAGAATTGCATCTGAAACTATTATTTATCAGGAATGATTTATTCTAATATATCATGTTAGTTTCAGCTTTACTATATATATGTGAAATAAATTAATAACCATATGCGTAGCACTTTGGTTCAGCTGATCGCCATTGCCGCATATTTTCGAATGGAAGAATTTGACCAATCACCATCCATGCTCCCGCGCCCGGGATTGCGAAAACTTTATGTTGACATATAATAATCAAACTACAACAAATATGACTTTCAGCGATTCAATGTATGGCAGTTATTATATATATATGTATCTATTTTCTATCCACTAAAGTTTGGTAAAAGCGGTATTATGACCGTGGTTGCTGTAAATAACGGTGAGTTGTGCGATCTTCCGATCACTTCACATACAATTTTGCCGAAATGAATTGAAACAATATTGAATGAAATATTGAATAAAATTAATAAAATAGATTACGAACATAAGTCCAGTTACATTATGAACTCTTTTTACTACCAGACGTATTTCAGCACGGATTTGTTGACATGGTATGTCCGGTGTTACGTGCTCACAGTAATGTCTTTGTGTTGCGGAGAAAAAACATAAAAAACTCAACCCTGTGTATAAGACGACACACAACCCCCCTGCCTGCACAATATTTTCAAAAGCTATTGCCTGAGAACCAATTTGGTTTTTTTCAGCCTTGAGGGTGCTTTTTTTTATAGATTACACTGATTGGCAAAGGAGCATAATTTGCTTCTATGTGAGCGGTGTGATTCTACACATACCGCCAATTTTTGGTTACACCCTTCCCAGAATGCCTTGGTCTGGTCAGCGATGACAATCTCATTCAAAGTTGTCATCTTGAGACTTTCCCAGTTTAACACAGACTTCTTCAGCAGTTTGTGTGCCACAGAGTCCTAGAAACAGAAAACAGTGTCATAAGTGAACTTATCCTGCTTGCTTTCAAGGAATCCTGATAAGTCTGATACAACCTACCGGAGAGAGTCAGACATATACCAGCTGTAGAGTCTGATACAACCTACTGGAGAGAGTCAGACATATACCAGCTGTAGAGTCTGATACAACCTACTGGAGCAATTCAGATATATACCAGCTGTAGAGTCTGATACAACCTACTGGAGAGATTCAGATATATACCAGCTGTAGAGTCTGACCTACCTACTGGAGAGAGTCAGATATATACCAGCTGTAGAGTCTGATACAACCTACTGGAGAGAGTCAGATATATACCTGCTGTTGAGTCTGATACAACCTACCGGAGAGAGTCAGATATATACCTGCTGTAGAGTCTGATACAACCTACTGGAGAGAGTCAGACATATACCTGCTGTTGAGTCTGATACAACCTACTGGAGAGAGTCAGACATATACCTGCTGTAGAGTCTGATACAACCTACCGGAGAGAGTCAGACATATACCAGCTGTTGAGTCTGATACAACCTACCGGAGAGAGTCAGATATATACCTGCTGTTGAGTCTGATACAACCTACCGGAGAGAGTCAGACATATACCAGCTGTAGAGTCTGATACAACCTACTGGAGAGAGTCAGATATATACCAGCTGTAGAGTCTGATACAACCTACCGGAGAGAGTCAGATATATACCAGCTGTAGAGTCTGATACAACCTACCGGAGAGAGTCAGATATATACCTGCTGTAGAGTCTGATACAACCTAGCGGAGAGAGTCAGATATATACCAGCTGTAGAGTCTGATACAACCTACCGGAGAGAGTCAGACATATACCAGCTGTAGAGTCTGATACAACCTACTGGAGAGAGTCAGATATATACCAGCTGTAGAGTCTGATACAACCTACTGGAGAGAGTCAGACATATACCAGCTGTAGAGTCTGATACAACCTACTGGAGAGAGTCAGACATATACCAGCTGTTGAGTCTGATACAACCTACCGGAGAGAGTCAGACATATACCAGCTGTAGTCTGATACAACCTACTGGAGACAGTCAGATATATACCAGCTGTTGAGTCTGATACAACCTACTGGAGAGAGTCAGATATATACCTGCTGTAGAGTCTGATACAACCTACCGGAGAGAGTCAGATATATACCAGCTGTTGAGTCTGATACAACCTACTGGAGAGAGTCAGACATATACCAGCTGTTGAGTCTGATACAACCTACTGGAGAGAGTCAGATATATACCTGCTGAAGAGTCTGATACAACCTACCGGAGAGAGTCAGACATATACCAGCTGTTGAGTCTGATACAACCTACTGGAGAGAGTCAGATATATACCAGCTGTTGAGTCTGATACAACCTAGCGGAGAGAGTCAGATATATACCAGCTGTTGAGTCTGATACAACCTACTGGAGAGAGTCAGATATATACCAGCTGTAGAGTCTCATACAACCTACTGGAGAGAGTCAGATATATACCAGCTGTAGAGTCTGATACAACCTACCGGAGAGAGTCAGATATATACCTGCTGTAGAGTCTGATACAACCTACTGGAGAGAGTCAGACATATACCAGCTGTTGAGTCTGATACAACCTACTGGAGAGAGTCAGATATATACCAGCTGTAGAGTCTGATACAACCTACTGGAGAGAGTCAGACATATACCAGCTGTAGAGTCTGATACAACCTACCGGAGAGAGTCAGACATATACCAGCTGTTGAGTCTGATACAACCTACTGGAGAGAGTCAGATATATACCAGCTGTTGAGTCTGATACAACCTACCGGAGAGAGTCAGATATATACCAGCTGTTGAGTCTGATACAACCTACTGGAGAGAGTCAGATATATACCAGCTGTAGAGTCTGATACAACCTACTGGAGAGAGTCAGATATATACCAGCTGTAGAGTCTGATACAACCTACTGGAGAGAGTCAGACATATACCAGCTGTTGAGTCTGATACAACCTATTGGAGCAATTCAGATATATACCAGCTGTAGAGTCTGATACAACCTACTGGAGAGATTCAGATATATACCTGCCGGAAAGTCTGACATACTTGCTGGAGAGAGTCCATGAGTTTGGAGAGGTGTCTACAGAAGTCCTTCAGTCTCTGGAGAGAGTCTGACCTACCTGCTGGAGAGAGTCTGTGAGTTTGGAGAGGTGTCTACAGAAGTCCTTCAGTCTCTGGAGGGGGAACATCATGACCTTGCGGAAGTTGGGGGCCCACAGAGACTTGTCTACCTTCTTCTCCAGGATCAAGTCCGGGAACTTGCCCTGAATCTTCTCAAAAAAGGCACTGCAGAAAGGAAACAAGTAACATGCCAGGTAGTGCTTGAGGTTGAATGTTCTGTGACTTTAATTTGTGTAACAGTTACTCCAGGGGTCCGTTCAACAAAGCTTTCGTGATGCCACGACTGTCGTAAGTCAATGTTAACGTATGAGAGTTACAATCACCTTAGTGCTAAGACCGCTTTGTGAAACGGGGCCCAGATTCTTGTGGTACTACTGGATAGTCATTCCAGCATACCTTTCTGCGATTTTCTCATCACAGCCCAAACCGTACTTGACTGCCAACATTCTTTATTATTTTTCCAGCAACTCAATAAATGTGGTGGCTTTGAAAGAAAATATATGTCAGCTTCCATGTCCTGAATAAAAATAGCAAATAATGCATCTAGGCAATCTGCTTTAATGTTTTCATTACCTATTCTGCCTTGGACTGATCAAAAGGTTTTACTTTCAGGATCTCGAGTCGGGCAACCATAACCCTTGTCAGTACAATACTCAGTAATCTAGTTCTTGATCTGGTTTATAAAGTAAACCCCTGTAGGTAAAACTTCCATAGACATCATAAATGATGATTTCAACAAACCTTCCATTCTTAGCACAGAATTCAAATCCTCCAACAGAGATAAAGTCTGCAAGGAATCGTGAGTATCTCTGAGTCATGTCGATTGGTTCACTGTAGTTCTTGAACTGGCTGGCTTCAGTGAGTTTCAGCCCCTCTCGTATCACCACTGTCATCTCACCTATCTGCTCTCCCACCTACACAGACACAGTACATGTTCTTCAGCCGAAGCTTACTACCAGTGTACAATATTTAGGCGAATACTGGCACAGCAAAGGAAAGCAGCTCCGTACAGCAAGACAACGTACCTTCAAAAACTAGGTTATCTGTGCCCCTTTGAAAACCAAGGTTACTGAAGTTACGTTTTTACTCTTGTTACGTATTGTGATGCTACAAACAGTGTTTCAAATATTATTGTAAAGCCCAACAAGACAGTTGGGCAGGTGACCCATAAGAGTTGCCTGCCCATCTTCAAAGTTACCTGCCTGCATTCAGACATAATAATTATTGATTTTTTGTGTGTTAAATTGAGACAAATCTTTCACGGTTTTCAAGTTATGCGCCGGAAATGAAATGCGAACAGACAGACCAGATGATGACTATAAAAACTGAATACGTAAGTAGTCTTAAATTTATCTGCCAGACAGTTGGACAGGTGGAGAAAAATTTCATGCAGTGCACAGAAAAGTTACCAGCCACGGGCAGGCAGGCAGGTAGTTATTTCGGACACTGGCTATAAACAGACTGATTTGGACAGCAATGAGAAACAAAAGACTTTTGTGGCTCTAGTAAGAAGGATCCAGAGGCCGAGAGAATGGTGATGACTGTTCTGTACATTTGAGTTTCTCCCCAAGAGAAGGGATAGACATGTATTTTGTACAAATGTGCCACAGCCACTCACAAAGATGGTTAGGCTTAGGTGTCCTTTGGAATTTGTGGCAAGTAGAAGAATAATCTTGATACATCATTGAAATGTTGAAAGTTTGCCCCCTTCCTTTTCATTAAGATTGATATCCTTTTCATTTCTGAATACCTAAATCTATCTTGTGAATCACACCAAACTACACGGAATATCAAACCCTGAATATAAATGAATGAGCTAAGGGAGAACTTACATTCCTCGTGAGGACGTAGAAGGAAGCCAGCAGGTTCTGCAGTGTGGACTTGTAGGGGAACACATCCAGACTGGTGTAGAAGACTGGGGGAACACAAGTCACTCAGTTGGGTCAAACACATCTATTACAGCATTTCAGTTACATCATATTTGTTGTTGTTCAAAGCCACCACTCAGCAATATTCCAGCTAAATTATGACTGCCTGTAAATAATCAAGTCCAGTGATTGATATTTTGAGCAACAATCCACGCTCTCTGGGTAGGATGACAAGCTAACAACCGTGACCCGATTCCTTAAGTCAGCTCTCACAACCAACTTTGGTTGCTATATGGACCCTAGAGGCGGTGGGGTAGCCTAGTGGTTAAAGCACTGGCTCATCACGCCAAAAACCTGAGTTTGATTCCCCACATGGATACAATGTGTGAAGCCCATATTTTGGTGTTCCCTTCTATGAAATTGCTGTAATATTGCTAAAAGCGGCATAAAAACACTCACTCACCCCCTGCTAGGGACAAATTCTAAAATGGAATCCCAGGGTTCCTTTATATCAGGTTGGTTGAATGAAACCCAACAGTGATGCCAAGTGATGAGTGAGTTTAGTTTAACACTGCTTTGAATAAAATATATCAGTTATAGAGCAGCTTATATGTGGAGAAAGCTCAATGTTAAGGTGTCAATATGATATGACAGACCACAGCCTCAAACACATTACCAGCAATTAATAAAGCTAGCACGACAGGTAAGAATAAAGTCATGTATCCTAAGACTTTTGTTTTCAACAGTGATTGATAGGGACTTATACAATACACGTTGAGTGAGTGAGTGAGTGAGTTTGGTTTTACGCTGCTTTTAGCAATATTCCAGCAATATCACGGCGGGGGACACCAGAAATGGGCTTCACACATTGTACCCATGTTAGGAATCGAACCCGGGTCTTCGGCGTGACAAGCAAACGCTTTAACCACCAGGCTACCCGACCGCCCCCAATACACGTTGATATTGGGCTGATTGTTCCTTTATTATTCTGACACACATTCAGACATTTCTATATTTCTAAGTGTTTTACTATGACTGCTGAGGGGTTTCAGCAGGTCCATCTTGATTCTGTTCAGGTGATAGTAAAACCCTCTCTGAATAGCAGCCAGTTCATACAGGGCAGGGAGAGCTACCGCCGGGTCAGACAACAGGCAGGCACAGTTGTTTCCCCTAGATGACAGGCTCTTTAACCAACCAGTCTGAAAAGAGTACAAAATACAATACAGCAAACAATACAATGAGTTGATCAACTGACTTCATAATATATATTCTCTGATATTGATGTTTTAGTCTATGTAATATGTGACTTGTTTTTATCATCATGATGAACCACTATTACTGGCGACCCATGTCTTTGCACTTACTTTCTTGAGTAGACTGAGGGCATTAGGCACTGGTGTTTTGTTGACAGTTGCATATACATCCGCTCTGTAGACAGAATGAGAGTTAATCAGATCAAGGGTTACCTTGACGCCATTTCACAAATCATTCTTAGGGCTACAACTTCACAAGCCTATGCTCTCGTATGGGAGTCGCAATTGTCGTAGTGCTACAAGACCCTGGTGGTCAAATGTCACACAATTCACTGCCCTGAGTTGCTTATTTTACATTTAACACAACTTATTTTGGGAGTGAGTTGGGTTTAACACCGATTTGAACATTTTTCCAGTTCTATGACAGTGTGTCAGCTAATGTGGGAAGAAAGCCTGAAGTGATGCAGGTCTTAAACGTTTACCACTTTGGTGAAACCCACGAGCACAGGTATGGTGCTGACAAACCTAGAAACATAACCAGGGCAAACCGGGATTCGAACCCGTGATGAAAGGGTTCTGTCATGCCAAGGGACGCAACTCTGCACAGCGAATTGTGGCTCCCGTGCCCCTAAATTATTTTCGGATTGCCTTTTAAGAAGATATGTTTTAAACTTGTCAGGTAAGGCTCCCCAAAACAGTAAAGGAATTAATGTTTTGGGTAACAAAAACTAATGAAAATGAAATTTCCAGTTTTCAATTTCAGATTATATGTGTGGTCCCTTAGTCCCACTGATTTGCAATAGGAAATATATTTGTTACTTACGAGGGTTGTTTCCCACAATAGAAAACATCTGGCTTCATTCCCGAGCTGTCAGTGAGAAAGAGAGAGTGGGCGTCGCCAGCCGCTATGTCCCACACATAATATCCTCGCATGAACTGCCAGAAGATATATGTTAAAAGTTACTTCAAATCCCATATTGATTTAATTAAAAAAGAAATTATGACTTCAAAGTCAGGAAGAAAGAAGACAACCCTTAAAATTTTCTTTCCTATTTAACAAATATTTGGTTGGCAGGACCCTAAAACAAGAGATAAGCTTTGTCTGAATATGAATTACAATCCTACCTTTACTCTGTTAGGAGATGCTTCATTCTCGTTGTGACCAAGCTGACCGTAGGCATTGTGACCCCAGGAATACACCTGCAATGGGTACAACAACTTCCAACATCAAGCTACACAACAATAGCGTCTGGCACACCTGTCCTTGATTTTATTCATCTTTACCATTTCAAAAAGTTGCAGGAAAAATGTCATATAATATAATGTCTCTGAACAAAAGTAAAATATACAACCATATCATTTAGCAAATATTGTTCATAATCCATTTTATTGCATTACCATGTTATAAGCATAAACTAACTGAAGGATACGTCTGTTCTACATGGCGGCCATTAGCCAGCATCTTTACTTCTCAAAGTCAAAACTGTCCTGGAAAAGATCTACCATCACGTGAAAGATGATTCTTTTCCATGAACAAGTAAATCTCAAATGTGGAGCTGCCAGTGTATGAAATAACTTCTATAGAACTATCCCACATCAAAGATCACTAGTTGACAATGGTAAAACTAGAAAGGTTTGTGTTTGGACTACATGCAAAAAACAGAATCAGACTAACTGCCATTATTTCTGGAACTCAAGAACTTTCTCATTAGAAACTTGTATTTTTTAAAACTTTTTAGACATCAGGAGACAGCTGACCACACATATGCCCAATGCTACCTTTAAATATTCTTAAACTTATATATTCAATTAATATGTGTGGGAGAATATTACTAGACAAATGGAAAAAGGCCACTTGTCTGATTTGAATATTTCTGGTCCCTGAATTACAGGGACGTATAGTTATAGAATATCTTTAGACTGGTGACAAGAGGTGTTGTAAGGTTAACTAGAATGAACACGATAGACAGAGTCAAGGCAGCAGTGACAGATGTACACACACCACAAACCACCCATGTCACACAAACCACCCACATCACACAAACAACCTGCACTCAGACAATTCAGACACCCGCACCATCCACACGGTGTGCTCACTTGAGCTACAGAGGTCAAGGCCAGGCTATGGTTGGCGCCAGCGGTCAGTTTCAGGACACATCTGGAGCTGAACATCTTCACACAACATGGCCTTATTCTGGAACAAAATTGACAAAAAGAAACTCATTTTTTCTTCAAACAGAATTTATAATAATACTAGTAAGCAACTCATTTCCTTGTTAACTCCAATCAGAGACCGTAAAATAGAACTGTTCCAAATTAGTGCAAATTAAGTGATATTCATGGGATACATAAACAAGTATGTATGATGATTATGTTTAACTGCTTTCTTTTAGTGTACTGATAGTTTTGCAGGAATAGTTAAGTCTAATATCTGATATCACCTTAGACAAATAAAAAGAAAGTTCTGAGCCAATGTTTGAGGTTCCCAGAACCACACCAAGTCTTGTACACTGAGCGGTCCCTACCACCAAGTTCATGGTCACACCTCCATATGGGCCCACTTGCACAAAGTGATCTTAGCGTTAAGATGGTTGTAACTCCGATCAAGGCCGTAGTTAACTTTTTTTGACAGGGGGGGCAAATATTTGTACAAGTATAACTTGTCCCCAACTTGTATTTTCATGATTCAAATAAAACTATTTTCTATAAAAAAAATCCCTCTTAGTAAGCTTTTAAGACAAGCATGTGGTACTTGAATTTCCAAAGAGGCTGTTCACCATGTCTGTTCTCTACCTGTCCATCATGCTCATATTGTTCCCTACCTGTTCACCTGGTCTCCTTGGCCAAGTTGACCCTTGCTGTTGTGACCCCATGACCAAACCTCTGTGTCCAGCGACACCTTCGGAATGGCCTCCACAGACACAGAGCTGTCAGACCCTACAAGCCAGGACATACTCACTGAACAAAACATCATACGATTACCATTCTGCTCAATCAAATGTTAGTTATGCATCCAGAATAAAACTGGATTTTGTTTTTTTATTGAACAAAGGACACGCTAAAGGACACGCTAAAGGACATGCTAAAGGACACGCTGGCTATTGTTAAACTCATCATGCAGTGGTCTAGATATGCAAATGTACCCACAGTTTCGTAAGTCATGGCAACATCACCATAAGTTATGAAATCTGCATCTTCTGATTACCAGCTCGTTACTGACAGATAATGTCTTGCAGACCTATATATGGACTATTGCAAGGTGACAAGCATGAGGAGAACACCATAAAGGTGCCATGAGGAAATGAAATTGTAAAAGCCTACAGGGTGTTCCTACTATTTTCTTAGTCAAATGAAAAGAGTCACAGACACCTACATTCATGATGACACCAAGTTATCATGATGGGGTGAGCTTGTCCTGCCCAACTGGTAGCACATAGGTTGTGAAAAAGTTAAGGTTACTTGACAGTTGGTGCAATAAACAGAGCTCAGCAAATAGTTTTCTGCTCAATAACTTTAATAGCGAAATGACATTTCCAAACTTAAGATTAACTAGCAATGTGTTGCATGGCTAGTTGACACTTCTTCCACATAATCACAAATAATTCTGGTATCATAATTACATCCTACCATTAACATTACAAGCTACATGTTTGAACATTTAGTTCAAACATAAAGACTATTCACATGAAGGAAGACGCTTACCTTTTAGCGAGTCTTGAGACAATCGTTTGTCGAGCTGGTCCTCCTTAGCCCAGAGAGTCCTCACCGACTTGGACTTCCTGTTAGCTTGTACTTCCTCCTCCTCCTCTGGAGTCCGCTCTCGGACCGGGGTAGAATTCGCAGAGTCCGGTGAGAGAAAACTTATGTCCTGGTTCAGCATCTCGATGAAGCTGGACTCCTGCATCTCTTCATGGCCAGGACTGGAAATCTCCAGACTGCTGTTACTCGTCACCATCGCCTTCTCCTGTACACTCATTTCAGTTTCAGCAACTCCAATGATAGTATCAGCATCTGCAGAAACATTGCCCAGATCGGTATTTGGTCCAGACACAAATGGAAGATTCTCTGCAATTGTCTGCATATTAGTCAAAGCTTTGGATGTCATTGTTTTCACAGATTCCATCATGTTTGAAGGGTATGGGATAAGGTTTTGAATTGTTGAGCGAATTTGAAATCCTTGACTAGATGAAGCTTCTTTTTCTGATTTCTCATCCTCAAATTGTTTGGCTAAGTATTCCCTGGCTTCTTTCTCATCCAGGAAGCTTTTGGATCTCTGTAGTCTGGTATGTTCCTCAGAGAGATCCTGCTCCCTCTGCCTCTCCTCCTCAAGGGAGATAGCACGTCTCCACACAACTTCCTCATCTCTGTTCACAGGATGGGTAGCGCCAGTTCTCTTCTCTTCATCAGTACCCTTACAAGTTTCCTTAACAGTATCCTTACCAGAGTCCGACTCTTCTGATGCCTTGGCATCAACATCAGGTATAGATTCTGTTATCTGTTCAACTTCAGCCGCTTGGGTTTGAGGCTGTCCATCAAGGGACAAAGTAGAAACTTTAGCTACCTTGACATCTTCTCTGTTTTCACTATCAGCCCTCTCTTGCCTCACATCATCCTTGATTGCAGACCTACTCCTCCCACCAGCAGCTTCTCCACCTTCTGGAAGATCATGATCAAGTTCATCTAGAGCATCACAAGAATGCCCCGAGGCTTCTACGACTGTGTCTCTAGAGTCCACGCTCACATCTAATTCCTTTTCAGAATGTATGGACTCCTGGCTGGCAGTGTGGCCTGTGTTCTGTGCATCTTCTGGACTCTGGATGTCTGGACAGGAGCTGATAGAGCTCCCGACGTCTGTCCCTGTCACAAGACTAGAGGTGTTGCTCCGGCATGTCTCCTCAGAGCTGTCTCGACACAGATGCTCCGAATCTATGATACATGTGTCATTAGTGTCTGTGTATGTGTAAATCTCCTTATTGCATTTCTTACACAAAGGTGGGAAATACTTCTGAGTTTGGATTTCTGTTGCTTCTTGTCCCTTCTTTCTCCTCCTTACACCATCTTTCTCCGACTTCTCCACCAGTGCCAGAGTATGGAAGTCACCACAACACACAGATAACACAGTTTTCTCCCTTAAGATCTCAACCCTCTTTGGCACATCCGACTGAGTTACCTCCCCTAGTCCTAGCTGAATTCCACTTCCCCACACCCAAACATCCCCTGATGTAGATAATGCAACAGTGTGCTCCGCCCCACAGCTTACCATGGCAACAGTCACATGACCCTCGGCTAAAGGTATACCATGCTCACAACACTTTGATTCATCTATGATGATTGTTTGACGAGGGGAGGTAACTGTTGCAGTATTTGACACAGCACACTGTCCATGACTAGCCTGACCCCAGCAGTAGATTTGGCCACTTGCAGTGACCGCTGCACTATGGTTCTTTCCACACTCTATGTCCACTACATCCTTATCTGAAAGAAACACACATATGTTAAACGTAACGTAGGGGACGTCTATTGCGCCAGCCTCCATACACATGGTGAATGCTCAAAGCACTACATTATTACGCCAGTCACTGGATCAGTGTGCACTCGATTTTCATTTTCAGCTCCCTGGGGAGTATACAGCCAAAGCTGAATTGTCAGATATTAGAGGGTTAACAGTCACATTTCCATCTCATCCGACCGGGTACCCATTTTTACTGCTGGGTGAACAGAGGCACACTTCGCTCAGAGTCACTTGCCTATGGCGACACCACAAGAGCAACCTGTGCTACATGTGCTTCATGTGCTTCAGTGTGGGACAGGACTGAAGTCCTAGTAACTCTCACGAGTCAAGCTGCCGGTCTCCAATCCAACTACTCTCCGAGACCATCGTTGCTTAACTTCACCTGGTTTGTGATCTGTGTGCTGTATTTATTATTAGTATTATTTATCCACTGTAATTGTGTTTATTAATGCAAAGTACTGGGCACTAAAACTGAAGACCTAAGAGTGAGTAAATGAGTGTTGTTAATGCACTGTAAACAGTAGTTCAGTAATATAACAGCATTAGTGTTATGTTAGATGATAGAGTGAGTGAGTGAATATGGTTTTACTCTGCTATCAGCAATATTCCAGCAATATCATGGTAGGGGACACCATAACTGGGCTTGACACATTGTATCCATGTGTGGAATTGAACCAGGGCCTTCAGAGTGACAAGCAGAAGCTAGAACCAATCAGCTACCCCACCGCCGCTTATGTTAGAAGAAAGCCCAGTCAGGGTCCAAGTGCTTTGTTTTGGCTTTCCATTTGGTCGCCTCTTAGGACCATCATAGGTTGCTAGGGACATATTCTAACCTGGAAGCCCCACAAGGCCCCATACATACAGGTATAGTGCTGACAGAGATCATATGATGGCTCAGGGTCTTAAGATGTAATATCAGAGGCTAAAATCATGTTCACAGGGGTTTCAGTATTTGCTCAAAGAGTAGGTTCAATGAGTTCCTGCTCAAGACAAGATTACCTTCTATGACTATATGTATAACAAGGTCAGCAGTTAGTCAGTGAACTCTAAAAGACCTTTTTTTTACAAATTTTCACAACTTTTTCTCACTTTAGTGACAACTGAAAAATTACAAATTAGGAAAGACATGAAGGTCTTTCATTTCACAGTTTCACAATTAACCATTACTATTACCTGATAGCTCCTTGATGACCTTTGGTTCTGTGACTTCACCATCAAGGTCACCATGACCAAGCTGACCATGACCATTCTGCCCACAACTGTAAACCTCAAGGTCAGCCGTGAGAAAGAGGAGGTGGTTGCCTCCCACAGCGACCTTCTTGACCTTCTTGGTGGAGAACACAGGGTATGTTCTGATCCCAAGGTCACCCATGTAACCTTGCCAGATACAGACCATTCCTTCCTTCATGTCATGGTTTTCCTCACTGCAATGATAAGATATCAATATTTGACAAGTGGTAAAAATAAAACGTAAAGTTGTAACAAATAAATGCCTTTTCTGAAGGAGCAAGAAGAAGATTTGAATTGGGAGACAAAATTTCAGTTGCTGAAGGTGGCTGTTCATTATACTGAGTGTTTTTTTTATAGGTGTTAATGAATAAATAAGTGTGCTAATTTGATCACAAAATAAAGAAACTATGCAACTCACTAATATCATTCAGTGCAATAATTCAACACAAGCAAAGAATTGTATCACTTGCAATTTATTTCTAAGTAACTCACACCTGACACCAACAATATTTTCACATAAACCATGGTTCATCATTTATCTTTTTCAGTTTATGTAGGATGACAGCATTTCATCAGCTTCAGTAAGGCATGTCCTGGTACATGTATGTCTTTTTTCCTTCAACTTAGTTTGTTGTAACTTTCACGTCACCAAGGAACCTTGCTAGCTCCATTTGGAAAGCTGTCATAGTTCCCATCTTACCATGAACATATGTTTTGTAATATGAACTAGTTTCTTTTAGGAGAAAAATACTCTTTGATTATTTTAGTTGTGCATTTATCCTTGATGTAAAAAAGTGAGGTGAGGTGAGGTGAGGTGAGGTGAGGTGAGGTGAGGTGAAATCATTATAATGTCATCGTGTTCCAAGCTTATTGCACTATTATAGCTCTATCACCAGACCATGGAGGCAGTCTGTCATGCAAAGAGAATCCCGATTTGAACACACTCCATTAACCTGGGTGTATCTTTACCCTCGTATGTACACAGTTAACATGGAGGACTGTCACGGTCATGCCGGTAACCGGTAACAACAAGGAGGAATAACTGTCACAGTAAAAAATGTTTTCAATTTCATTCAGTCTACCATGGTTTATAGGAACTAGATCCAAACTCATACATGGTCCATACTGCAGCCTCACACCTAATAGTGAGTGAGTGAGTGAGGTTTTACGCTGCTTTTAGCAATATTCCAGCAATATCACGGCGGGGGACACCAGAAATGGGCTTCACACATTGTACCCATGTCGGGAATCGAACCCGGGTCTTCGGCGTGACGAGCGAACGCTTTAACCACTAGGCTACCCGACTGCCCTCACACCTTATAAAGAGTACAGATACAGTTATGAACATCTTAGATAGCTAACCTACAAATCAGGCAATTATGATGACGGTTTATTATTCCCAGGCACAGTCTGGTGTATAGAGTGGGATACGTCTCAATGGTGCCCACCTTTGAAGTTGTCCCACCTTGTTTGACAAGAACACACCCAACTGTCACCTCTACCCGGTACAGGCGAACCTGATCCGACAAATACCTTCATCTTTTGTGAGCAGCCCCAACCACCTGTCCTGTGACAAGCAATTTTCTGAAGCTGATTGTGAATGTACTTCAACCTTCCCAGTGACAAAAGTATCAAATTTCTTTTATCTTTTATTCCCTTCCTACTTGTTTATTTAACAATTAAATACAGCCACAACAAATGTACATCTGGTCATGATGTCAAACATATGACTTATATAGGTTTTCTTGAAGGTTAATGGATTGTGATGGACTAGAAAACTTCTAAAGTAACAATAAAAGTCCAACAGCCAACTTTGTTGTCTTATTTTATACCATGATTAACATATATAGGTTTATATCTACTCCTAGCATTTTTAAAGCTCTAATAAACCATGGCACACCATGATTTATCCAAATCCAAAGTCACCTACTGGGGAATCAAACCCAGTAATGATTGCTAAGTAATAGCACTACTCACTGAGCTGACTTAGTTCATTTAACATGCTTAACATCAATAGCTACAACAATTCTGATGTGGACCAACTTTCTTCCTTTTTCCTGAATATTTTGCTGGATTGAACACTTTCACACCTGTGAACCCTTGCCTCTAAAACATAACATGCTTAAGGAACTAAGATTTGTAGCCAATATCAAACTTTTGAACTGCTGCCTTAGGGGAATGCAAGTTAATACATTCATCTGACCAATCAAATTGCTAACGTGCACATGTGCAAATTTTGAAAAAACATTTAAACAAAATGTTTATGGTAATACAGTGTAACTAAATAGGTCCCTGTTAGTCTTGCAATCCAGACAAATAGCATCTATATTCACAGGGCATTACACATAGGATAGACTAGTCTGTATTACATGTACAGACCCTGATACAAGTATATATCAAATACAGCCCATGCAAGTCTATAATGTTTGGCAAGGCTAGATTACTGCAGTATCAAATGAAGAGAGTCTCTGGGCTTCTTTTTATTATATTTTTATTTATGATAATTGAACAACTGTTTTTTTCTGTACGATATGTTCATTTCAGAGACTAGATGTTAGTTTAGGGATAGACATTCAGGACTTTTTCTTAATCTGGATGAATTCACTTGGTACCATGGAAGGGATTTAACTCCAGACAAAAGTGATTTCACTGTAAAAGAATTCATACAATATAAAAGAGTACATGTATTTTCTTCTTTCATATAAGTGAGACACACTGCCACTTCATAGTTATACTGTGCATCAGTTTACAAAGGAACCAGTCATGTACGATGTCACTGTGTACTTTCACAGGTCCCTCCCTCTCTTCGTGTTTAGTGATGGCAGTAAGTCGGCCATTACACCAACTCCTGCTATCAATCCTGGGATGGCCATTGCCTCCTAACACAGGACACCCGCCTGCCCACAGGACACACTGACCAGTCGCTGAGGGCCACCAGCATGGCCCCCGGTCCTATCAATACCTAATGGGGGCTCAAATAGACATATAACAATTTGAGATTGCTCAAGCGAGGGCAACTAACCTTTTGGCTTGTACTTAATATAGCATGGTGGAAGGAATGAATGTCATTACTATAGTTCACTCCACAAAGCTGTTGATACAACACAAGGGCTTCGTGTGATCCAGAAATGTTCAATATGGCTGCTAAGTCACATGTGAAAGTGAATATCCATAAGATTTGATGGTTATTGGAGTAAATTTCATCTTCAGTTTTTATTTTAACAAAAAGAATATAACTAAAACTACTAACTCACATTGGCCTTCTATCCATTACTCCATTACTGTGTGAACGTGTTCAATCACTTCATTTTTTGTACGCAAATACATTTGGGTCTGGCTCGATACATTCACACCCGTGAAGATCCGGCTTAGAATAGGTTTTCAGCAACCTATGTTTTGTTTGCCATAAAAGGTGACTATGCTTGTCGTAAGAGGCGACTAACGGGATTGGGTGGTCAGGCTCACTGACTTGGTTGATACATGTCATTATATGTGGATGGATGCTCATGATGTCAATCACTGAATTGACTTGATTATTAACAGACTGCCGTCATACAGCTGGAATATTGCTCAGTGCAAAGTTAAACAACAAACAAAACATAAAACGACACATTAAGGTATGAAATGAAATGCACAGGTGAAGGAATGTAGAGGTCAACTCAAGTTTTATTGGTGGTGTCGAATTGCCTTCCTGCCAAGTCCAACCAGAACACCAACACATTGTGTTGTCCTACTGGCCCAGGGGTATATAATTTATTCAGGTAGTCTTGTGTTAAATGCACTCACTATGATATGGCTGGAATATTGCTGAAAGTGGAAGTAGACCCCACTCACTCACTCACTCACTCACTCACTCACTAGTCCTACCAACAGCTCACATCAGCACACGTACAGTCTCAGCATGGAAATCTGGCCTCAGACATTGTGTTTTGAATTTTTCAGATAGATTTTTAACAGATTTTAAGTAAAGTATTCTAAATAATTTGTTTATTTTGACAGCGACATTAAATGAATTATTTTTTTAAACATTTTCCTTATTTCTGGTTGACAGAAATTGAGAAATCAACAACACTGCTTTCCATTTTGGGGGTTTCAGATAGATTCTCAACACATTTTAAGTACAGTATTCTAAATAATTTGTATATATTGATAGCGACATTAAATGAAATTTTTAAAAAACAACATTTTACTTATTTCTGTTTGACAGAAAACAACAACACTGCTTTCCAATTTGGGGGGTTATTTCGTATGTTCACACTTCAATTTTTTGGTGGATTGGTAAACCAGGTTTAAAAATCTGGTCCCAGGTATATCTACAATATGTAGATATATGTACATGGACAACAGCTAAACATTATTTGGCATTATGACAAAGAAATGCAGTTAATTTCATTTCCTGCAATCCTGTTTCATATGGATATATACATGATAAAGTTAGCATTTATTCAATATTCAGTCCCAATAATGTTGACTTCTTAATGACGGTTTCTGTTAGTAATAAATACCAAAATGAAAGCAGAATTCTGAAAATTAACCTGATTATCTGTCATCCTTTCAAAATATCACCAGCCCAGCAAACCGGCACAATACCTGCTCTTGTCTCTATTGTTTGGTGATCACGCACCACGTATGTGCAAAATGTAACACTTGTTCACAACATTCATAACAATTGGACATGAAAATTATAAATAAATATCTTAATAATTGTCCCGTGTACTGTTGGAGGTCACTGTTTGGCCAGGAGTAACACAGTTATTGACACAGCGTGAAATACACACCCTCCCAATCATGTCTTCATTTAGGGGAACCTTATCGTTCAACATTTTTTGGACCAAAAGTCTGGATCCGAACATGCTGAAGTTAACAATTAGATTCTTTTTTCAAACTCTTAAATTTGCCCTAACATCGAATCATTTAAAGTAGGCATTTGTTCAAACATCAATACAAATGCATAAAACATCCTCTGTGTTTGTTATTCAATTGCTTTTAATCAGTTCAAAAAGATAAAAATGTAGATTTTACATTTGTAAAAAAACTGGTTTTCCACAATTTTGAGTTCAATGGAGGCATGTACATTAGAGTTCACTAATTCTAACATCTTCAAAAGTATAAAATGTATATAAAACAACAAACATGTTTGATTGTCATGATTGTTGTCCATCCTTTTATTGTGGAACTAAACACAAGCATGTGAAAAGAAATAATTCTATCAATATATTTGTACTTGATGTACGTAAATCCCAAGCAGTATCTACATGTCTACATGTCTACACTGCACAAATCATGTCAATTCAGCCAGAGGAAATTACCCTATTTACACCATATTGACAATCTCAAATCCAGCACGAAGAGACGCCGGATGAATCGAACCAATCACATCACTCGATATATCTCCTTTTGTCATGTCAACATCCAAGTGTTTCTCTAACCCTGTTACACGGCGACCTACATCAGCAATTGATTTTTCCTCAAAGAAGCTTGCGCCTGGTCGGTCAAGCGTGAGCGATAAATGTATGATGCGCGACACCTGAGTCTTTGCATCGGGAGACACTCCAGCCTACAGTGTACCTGCCTCACGTTCTGAGACACCACACGTGAAGGAAGTACAGAAGCTGTGTACCTGTCTACTTGATGAATCTACATTCACAAAAACACCTGGAGAAGTGAATAGGCCTACCTGTATATATGGAGAGATAAATGACACCATCCATCGTGACAACTCTTCAGACAGGTATGACAAAGATTTGAATATTCTGTAATGTCTTACACATAATATCAACTCTTTCATCAATAGCTGTCATACATGTATGGAATTAAAACATGTAAATAAAATGTAATTCTACATAATACATGATCAAATCCAAGATTTATCCTAAAATTTTAATTTTGTAAAATTCCAAATATTCACAGGTGGAAGTACGTAACAGTCCATAGTCATGACATAGATCAGTCAAATCTCAACCATTAACTTAAAGAGTGTGTTCGCCACAGATTTGGTAATGTTGAAAGCATTATGCAAAATAAAAAAGTAAATACGTACAGCTGAACTCTAAAATTTCATAACAACCACATGCATGTTGGAAACAAAGCACATGTACAACATGGACGAGCAACATGAATTATTCAGTCCCTAGTTCCCTGGCTTGTCATGGGAGGTTGGGTAATATCATGTTACATGCCTTTCTTTAATTCATGCTGCTTCTGAATGTTTAAAATGAGGCAAGTCGTAGCAGATAAGATGTCGATTTTGCAGGAAAACAGCAGGAAGCATTCATTGTATTTTACCCGAGTCAGGACTGTCTGACATTGCAGCAATATCCTGTAATAAACATTTTCAACTAACTCAAGCAGAGCATTGTTTAGAAATAGTTTTTCACAACGGTAATGTAATCAGTCTCGGACTACTGGTCTGACGCGATATTTTGAATGTTTTATCATGACCTTGGGGCCTGCTAATACTGAGGGGAGATCCTGCACCTTGCACAACACAACAAAGATGTTACAAGATGCTGAACAACTAACTGTTCCTAATGGAGTATGTTCTCAGAATTACTCATTTGATTGAACTGATCAAAGAAAGCTCAAATCATGAGTGTTTGGCCATTTAAAACATTCTAACACATAGAAATGTTTCATTTTTAGGTTTTTCATTAAAAAACTTGCTTGTTGATAGTCACTGTTTTGACATTTGTCTGTAGCAGTTGATGAAGCTGAACACAAATTAAAATATCTTATGGACACGTGGAACCACGTGAAATCAAAGAATGGCGATAGCAAGAGTATTGCATTACGATGCAATATAGGATTGTATTGATACACTTTGTCACGATACGATGCAGATTTCTCCAGCAGGTCAAGGTCACGACCTAACAGTTGTCATGCTGTGGAAGTGTATGCCACCATTAACAGGAATGACTAGGGGCCTACCCACAATATCACAATATACTATATATGAAACATTACACACTGCATGTCATAACACAGATCTTCTGTTGCCACAGTCAAGAACAAGAAGAAAATGCCATATTTCTGTAGTTCAAGAGGCATCATTTGACATTTATTGTTTTTTTCTAAAAATGTTTATAAGATATTTATTGTTGATTTTCTCAGATCAGGAAAATATTGACAAAACAAAACAGGTTGCATACTGAGATCTTGCATATTATTAAATCACAAAATGATTGGAATGAATATTATTTCATTCCATAGAAAGACACTTATCCTAAAGAGTTTTATTTTTTGTTTCATCTCGTCTTTGAAACTAATTGATTCATGTATTTAAGATATTCAAGAATCTTAAAAGAGGTGGGCACAACTGAACAAGCAATAGTTGGAATTAACATAAAGTATTCATATACTACTGAAAAGAAGTTAAAGAACACCTGATTTCTTTCATATGACTATAGGTAATCTGTAATGGCTGGCGAGTATTGCAACAGTTTTCCAATTACCGTATTCGACGTAATAAGCGCCCAGGGCGCTCTCAAAATTAGAAATAGGGGGCCCTTATTAGAATATATTTTTCGTGAGAAAAAAAACCAGAGTTGAAAGATCGTAAATTTCGTGGTTTATGCTAACAGCCTGAAATGATAAAAAAGAAACGTCTGTGTGTATTATACACGACAGATATTTTTTCCAGAAATTAATTGCCCATAATTAAAGGTGCATATAACACACGAGTGCGTATTATACACGAATAAATGACATTTGTGACATGTTATATTAATAGATCTGCCACCACGTGTTTATAATAACCTTACGGTACATCCTAATCTTCATGTAGTTCCAGAGCATGTGACTCATGTATCATAATTATTTTAGATCGATATATCAATACTAGAATTTTCAATCAATGACACCCCTACTGCTCAAACCCAGTCTACCTGGAAGGATTTAGTGGAATGAGACAGTGTGTGTGTAGGCGGAGTTTAACAAGAACAATCAGAAGTGGGTGTGGCATAATCATCACAACATTTCACTTAAAACAGGAAACCTTATCAATAAAATATGAATCCTATCTATATAGTTACATATTTTGTAATATTATCAGCTGGTCTTTCATAGGGATGACTTGTATGCTTTATACATTTGGTACATCTTAAAACTCATCCCTCATTTTTAGCTGTGCATTTTTCTTTGGTGAAAAAAATATCAATGATGGGTGTGACAAGGGTTTCAATGAGATAGTTATAGTTACTGGTATTTCGAGTGTTGAGTTGACATTTGTGACATGTTATATTAATAGATCTGCCACCACGTGTTTATAATAACCTTACGGTACATCCAGCCGTTAATGTGGGCCCCTGTGTGGACAAGGGTTAGAATAGTCCCAGGACCACACTACCAGTTATAGATTTGTCTGTAGCAGTTGATGAAGCTGAACACAAATTAAAATATCTTATGGACACGTGGAACCACGTGAAATCAAAGAATGGCGATAGCAAGAGTATTGCATTACGATGCAATATAGGATTGTATTGATACACTTTGTCACGATACGATGCAGATTTCTCCAGCAGGTCAAGGTCACGACCTAACAGTTGTCATGCTGTGGAAGTGTATGCCACCATTAACAGGAATGACTAGGGGCCTACCCACAATATCACAATATACTATATATGAAACATTACACACTGCATGTCATAACACAGATCTTCTGTTGCCACAGTCAAGAACAAGAAGAAAATGCCATATTTCTGTAGTTCAAGAGGCATCATTTGACATTTATTGTTTTTTTCTAAAAATGTTTATAAGATATTTATTGTTGATTTTCTCAGATCAGGAAAATATTGACAAAACAAAACAGGTTGCATACTGAGATCTTGCATATTATTAAATCACAAAATGATTGGAATGAATATTATTTCATTCCATAGAAAGACACTTATCCTAAAGAGTTTTATTTTTTGTTTCATCTCGTCTTTGAAACTAATTGATTCATGTATTTAAGATATTCAAGAATCTTAAAAGAGGTGGGCACAACTGAACAAGCAATAGTTGGAATTAACATAAAGTATTCATATACTACTGAAAAGAAGTTAAAGAACACCTGATTTCTTTCATATGACTATAGGTAATCTGTAATGGCTGGCGAGTATTGCAACAGTTTTCCAATTACCGTATTCGACGTAATAAGCGCCCAGGGCGCTCTCAAAATTAGAAATAGGGGGCCCTTATTAGAATATATTTTTCGTGAGAAAAAAAACCAGAGTTGAAAGATCGTAAATTTCGTGGTTTATGCTAACAGCCTGAAATGATAAAAAAGAAACGTCTGTGTGTATTATACACGACAGATATTTTTTCCAGAAATTAATTGCCCATAATTAAAGGTGCATATAACACACGAGTGCGTATTATACACGAATAAATAAGTCTTGTGTACATTGATTCAATCAGAAGGGGTGCTCTTAAATTGGGATTGTTCAATAGCTATTCAATATATTAGCAAATATGGGCGCTTATTAGAGCGGGGCGCTTATTACGTCGAATACGGTATGGTTGTTTTTTTAACTTGTTTTCAGTAGTATGTGCTAAGGAAGCGAGGTTAATTTCTTACATTCTGCTATGATATTAATATGCTGATGACAATGATTGACATCAATGATTTCCTCCAATGTAGCAATCGCCATTGGTACAGGATGAACTATCAGCGTGTTCATGGTATCCATGCTGTCACTCAAATTAGTTATGTAAGCACTGTTAACAACAGCCATAACAGATAACAGACACTGTAATGGTTGAACACCTTGACTAACCCACGCTTGCATGGTACGAAACATGACTACTTAAACATTAAACAATGTGTGTTTTGCTGGAGACAAAGAGAAGCTGTTATGGCAACGCTATGCTAATGTCAACAGAGAAAAAACAGGCTTTACCTACCGATAGATCATGCTGAAGTTTGTAATATGAAGCTGAATATTTAGAGTCTAGGTTCTCTAGAGAGTTTGTTTGAATCTTTTTTGAAACTCCTTTTGAATGATTAGAGACAGGGCAGGAAAAGGGATCAAGACAAAGATTAGGAGAGTTGGAAAAGAGAAAGAAAAGTGAAAGAATGAAAAAGAGAAAAGTAGGGAGCAAGATAGACTTAAGCTTTGTTTCTGAAAACACATGAATTTTAAAGAAACAAGTGACTACATTTAACATAATAAAATGTGATGGGGAAAATCTAGACTTGCTTTATTTAGGGCTTTAGCATTACAGTAAGGGCTGGGTGGAAGGGAAATAATATGGTTCTGGGACTGTGAGACAGACTAGGAGCAAGAGAGTGAATATTGTTTTATGCTGCTCCTGAGAGGTTTGCAGCATACCTCGTGAGGACACTGATGGGTTATATTTTTTGATAATTGAACTACAATAAGGAACTTAATCTAGGTTTAATCATGAGAAGCCAACACCTTAACCACTTGGCTACCCAACATCATGGGGGCTTAGGGATCATGTCACCTATTTCAGTTAGTTGTTTGAGGGTTTTGTTCTCGTAACATTTCAGATCTTGTATTCCCTGTTTTGACGTCATATCACAAACAGGAAGCTTTAAACAAATACTATTTGTATGTGTGTACTGAGTGGATGTGTGAGTGAATCTAGTGTAACTCTGCTGCTGCAATATCCCACCTATATTACAGCAGTCTATAATTAATGACGTGACAAAGTCCCCGTGCCCGACCACCAATTCCCACTTTAATCAACACATGACAAGCACTGGGGACCTTAGCCTTGCTCTAAGGC